GGTATCGGACAGGACCCTGCGAACATTTCGGGACCTAGTAGCCGAAAGACCCCCCCTTGCCCTAGCACATTAGTATAGCTTCTATTGAAGACGGCTCAGTCTGAGGATTGCGTGATATAGTGGGTCATTGACGACTCGTAGACTATGGTTTCTACCCTAACTAGCAATAAAAATACGTTAAGATAAGAATTACAAGCTATAGTTAGAGCATTAACATAGCTTTGGCGAGTTCCGAGTAAGCCCAAGTTATAGGTGAGTATACTAAGTGGATAGTTAAATATTTACCTGTACTCCTATCTAGCGATGCTCCTTCTACACGTAGTAATTTGAATCTCAGACAGCAATATAAATCAAAGTAGTTGGGTAGATGCTTTTTTTATAGAAACGCTATTCGTCCTTTTTAGTTACTACGAACACCCAGTTTAAGATAAATATAGGTCACATAATAGGCCTTAGCCCCTTGAATTCTTATAGGCAGTAATATACTTAAATCTTGAGGTTTATTAAATGTCTTTCTCATCCTTAACTGCAGTGCCATGTTGCCCGAACTTGCCAACATTAAACTGGTCGGGTTGGCCCCAGTCCTCTCGTGCTGCCCTCTCCCGAGTTTCCCGGTACATGTAAGGCGAGTTCTTGTAACCCTTGTGCCATTTTCGACCTTCCCATTCCTCCTCGACGGGCTTTTCACCCTTGGCCTGAATATCTCGGGCTCTACGCTCAATTGACTCCCATACGCGTAATATATTTTCTCCTACTAGAAGTTTGATTTGATCGTCAGTAGCTCCACGAGCCATTATCAGCTCGATTAGATCAGGGTATTTCGAAACGTCCTAGAAAGTGGTAAGTATTTATTCTAAGTATGGCGTGTGTAGAACCTCTATGTGTCCACTCACCTCAAGACCACTGGGGGTAAAAGGGGTTCCGCTAAAATCGGACCCAATTCCAACGTGCTCCCAGCCGGCAATTTGAGCGAGATGCCATATGTGATCTACCACGTCGTGTATTGTAACCGCCCCTGGGTCCTCCATATTTAAAAAGCGATTCACAAATACAGCCATCACGATTCCCCCATTTCGGCGAATGCTACGAAGAACATCGTCGGGTACATTGCGTAGATGAGGGGTTACGGAATATGCTCCCGAGTGGGAGAATATCACGGGCGTTTGAGTGATGGATAGAACGTCTCGCATTGTCTGATGAGAAACGTGCGAGAGATCAATCATCATACCTAGACGGTTCATCTCCCGAACATAGGCGGCGCCAAGTGACGTAAGTCCTTTATCAGGGTTTCCGCGAGCGACAGTCGAAGCAGATGTTGCCCATGCATTATCACAGTTGTGCGTAGTCGTGATGTACCGGACGCCGAGATCGTACGCCTGGCGAACGGCAGCAATGGAGCCTCCAAGTTGATGACCGCCCTCGATACCCAGCATACTAGCAATACGACCATTCCGAAATGCAGCACGAGCGCATGAAGGAGTTTCACAGTAAGTGAAGACCTCTGGGGACTCTGCGATAAAGCGCTTGGCCACATCGATCTGCTCAAGAGTATCACGCACTATCCACTAACCGTCGCATAAATGTATTAGAATCCACGAATCCAACTCGTATTATGCACTAGAAAAGAGAGGCTTACAGATGGATCTTCAAAATGTTTCTGCGCCGCGTCGCATTTGACGTGTACGCTCCAGAATTGACCTCCCATCATTCCTTGTCTCATTCGACCAATGTCCGTGTGACCCAGCAAACGCTGTTTTGGATCGAACTTCCCATCGTAAATACGGTTGTGTAATTCAACGCGGAGGAGCCACGGAAAGTCATTGTGACCATCAATTAGCGGCGTCGTCTTTAGTATATGCTTTGTCCGTAGGGCATAGTCTGTTGGGTCAATAGGAGATTCTGCTAGTGATAACCAACTACCTAGGGACGTAAAGGGGGCAATGAGAACCGCGAGGCTCGTTGCGATTATTGTGCTCCGCCAACGTCTCAACCAGCTATATTGAGAAACTTGAGGATGAACAATAAGGGCATTCTCGTCTAGGTTTGCGGAGTCTCTTCTGTCCGCGGTTTGAAAAGGTGCATCGTCTCCGGGAGGTAGCTCGGTGCTTGGTGTCGTGCTAGCCATTGGTTTGATGTGTTTGGGGGATTCGCCTGTAAGACGCGCGGGCAGACCCCTGAGTGTAATGGGAAATTCAACATCTCAATAATACCCGACATCTTTGTCATTCTCACCCAGCTTCTCGTTTGATATTTGCGATGTCGGTCCCCTCGGTAATTTGAATCCTAATAGTTCGTAGTCTAAGTCCACGCATCCGAGACTAATGATCCAATCTGGCTTTCCGACCAGCGAGCTATTCGAGTTGTCTAAGTATATCGTTATCGAGATGACAAACTCCAACGAACATGTGAAAGGTACCTAAGTCTTATCGTCGACCTCTCAAATCTCTCGAATCCCGTAACGCAATGCTACCCTTGTATCACATCATGATCCGGCCGGCATGTCTATGTGGGGGATAAGCTTGGTTCCGAGCTAGAGGAAGAGCCGTCCATGGGGGATAAGCGGGGCTCTATTGAGAAGAAATGCTGCCTTTGCGGTGTTTCCTAAGGTTTGAAAACCCGTGCCTGATGGATGAGGCACGGGTTTTATATACCTCATGTCGTCGGGGACCCAGCTCCGAATGTCGGGAGGTAGGGCCGATTCGAGTAGACTACGGGGATTAAGCTCACTTACCGACGTGCATCTCGGCTACTGCAGCTCGGATGGCTCTAAGTTGAATAAAGATTCACTGCCAATGCTCGAGGGCTTATTATTCATCGCAGGGGGGTACGAGTAGTTGGGTATCACGCAATCAGTCTAAAGCGTGGATCGAAAAGTTATCACGAGAAACAATTCCTGGGCACTCATATCGTGACTATTGATATGATATGATATGATATAACTAAGGCTCAGCAGTCTTAAGTTTTTACCGTATATCTATTTCTTGAGCATTTTACAATATATCATTCATTCCATCTAGCATATATGATATTGACCAATTGTTTACCAATTAGCCATGGCAGATAACGATAAAGAGGAAAAGCAGCACGATTCCGTGACTGTGAGTGACGATAGGTTACTTGAAAATGATACCGCAGCAGAGAAGCGACTTGTGAGGAAAACAGACCTATTAATGATGCCAGGCTTAGGTGAGACTCACTTGCGGGTAGTTTCTCGTTCTTATATTTACTTATAGTGTGGCTAACTGGCAAAGCTCTTGCATACTTCACTCATACTCTTGATCGCGCTAATCTTGGAAACGCGAAGACCGATGGCCTGGAAAAGGATCTGGGTCTCGTGGGCAATCAATTCTCCCTACTACTCGTTTTATTCTATGTCCCATACGCTGTCTTTAACATTCCTTGGTCGATACTCGCAAAGAAGTATAACTCTGCTCGAGTGATCCCATTTACTATCCTAGCATGGGGAGCTTGTACAATGGGCGCTGCTGCCGCCAAGAACTTTGCTGGCATTATGACTACGAGAATTATAATGGGTGCCATTGAAGCAGCTTGGTAAGTACGACAATATCTTACCGTTGAGTATTAAGTGCTGATAGATATTTTAGTACGTTCAATAACCATTTCTTCTCAACACTCCTTTCTATAGCCCCCAGTCAAAAATCACCAAAACATTCGACTACTAGATGACCTACGAACTCCCCTAAAAATCTACTCTTCAAAAATGGTATTGAGATTTATCATTATCGTACTAACAAAAAGCCTAGACAAGCCTTGTGAAGTTTACTACTTGTCTCTATTCTATACGCGGAAAGAGATGGCATTCCGTGTGTCTTGGATTGGCCAGATGGGATTCATTGCAGTAAGTGGTAATGTGTACCTAACGTATGAAATTCACCTAGCTTAAAAGTATTTAGGGAGCCGTCTCCGGGTTAATTTCATGGAGTGTATTCCAGTGGAAGGGCAAATTACATGTACGTTGCCCATAAAATTATCTACTAACGGAATCTAACATTACTTGCTGGGATAAGGGTTGGCAATACTTATTTCTCATCGAAGGCTCAATCACTGTTGTAGTGGCAATCTACCTCTACATCTTTGCCCCTCAAAGTCCTGAGAAGTCTCGATGGTATACAGAGGAAGAAGCTAGGCTTGCTAAGCACCGCCTTAAGCAGGACTCACAAGATCAAGATACGGAATTCCACTGGGATGAAGCGAAGAGGCAGCTCAAGCATTGGCCAACCTGGGCTTTTGCGTTCATGGCCTTGATGTATGGGGTCGGCGTTGCTAGCAGCTCGAATTTCTTACCGGTAAGCTCGAATTTACCTTCACTACTTGATACATTGGAAGACTAATAAGATCACTGCATTAGACAATGATAAAGAGACTCACTAGCGAAGCCACTACCGCTAACCTCTATACTGTTGGGCCCAATCTAACGGCATCCGTCTTCCAAGTCACAATATGTTGGCTCTCCGACCGATATCAACAACGAGCAACATTTGCTTGTGGTACAACAGTCATTTCAGTAGTGGCTTGGATCCTTCTTGGTACATTAGACTTGGTACATAAACCGCAAGTCGGCTACTTCTTGACATACCTCATTACTTTCGCTACCTTTATTCCGAGTAATCTCGTCCCAGCGTGGCTATCATCCAACACGCCGACTACTACAGGCCGTGCTATATCACTTGGCCTCAACTACATGGCCATGAATTTGGCTGGAATTATTTCCTCGTTAGTTTACCGAACCGAGGATGCACCTGTCTACCGACCAGCATTAATTACTGTCGGCTGTACTCAAGGTGTCTTCGTCGTTACGGCCTTGGTGATGCGACAGTACTATGCTGGCTTGAATAAGAAACTTGACTCCGGTGAGCTTCCCTGCGCACCTGGGATGGAAGCTCGTCCTGAATATCGGTATGCCGTCTAGATATTTGGATATGAAGAGTCTCTACTTCAACTCATCGTCATGAGATAGCTTCTTGTAATCAGACAGGTAGGTTAGAAATAAATAGTGAGAATGGACATACAATTTCAGGGGTATAAAGCGATGTAGTCATGAGAGATTGTTAAAATAGACCAGAAATTCACACATTTTCAGCTATAGTACAGTTCCTACCCGATTTAAATAAACCCTTTAGTACAAAATATAAGCTATCTAGAAAAATACCCTCACAAGGGAAGATGATATAAAGTTGATACTACTCGATAACGCCCACAGCTTTCCTAGAGAACTAGCTTTTCTAGTCTTAGGCAATCTCGTAATATCATCCCTCAGGGACTCGTCTAATTAAAGACGCCTTTTAGGTAGTTGGCTGTTAAGATTCCATAAATTTACTCATAAGCGAGTAATTGTCCTAGAGAAAGCCCATGCATCTTCTGCAGAAGTCCCCCGATTATTAATCTCATCTAGCAACAGGCTTCAGGTGAATATTCAACGCCGGCTTATCCCATAAGGTGTAAACACGCTGATTGAGCCAATTCCGGCTGTCGTTAGCAATGGTCATATCGAAGTTGTAGATTATCCTGGCTAGGATGAGGCGCATTTCGGCGTAAGCCAAACTTTTTCCAGTGTTAGAACATAATTCTCAAGGCGAATGATAAGAGAGTAGGGGACCTACTTGCGACCAATGCAGTTTCGCGGGCCTACACTGAATGGTTGCATCGCATCAAGCTTGTCACCCTCGTACTTCGGGTCACCCATAAACCGCTCTGGAGCAAAGGAATAGGGGTCGGTCCAATGGTTCGGATCATGGTTGACAGCATATTGCCAGACAGCCACAACGGTCTACAAACTGTTAGTCCCACATCACAAGAACAACCAGCCAAGGAATACTCACGCCCTCTGGAACATGTTTCCCCATGATAGTAGCACCACCCTTAGGCGACTGGCGCGGCATTCCAGTTGGCACAGGGGGATACCGTCGGAGGGACTCGTTAAGACAGGCCAGCATATACGACAATTTTCCGACAGAAGTTAAGGTAATTTCGTCGTCGTTATTGAACGAAGAACGCACTTCCTGAGTGAGCCTTTCGAGCTTATCTGGGTGGGTCGTAAGTAGGTAGACGGCACCACTCAGAAGAGTCGCCGTCGTTTCACTTCCGGCTACGATGAGAGTAGTTGCGTTGGTGGCTATTTGCATAAAGTCGAGTTTTCCCTCGTCCTTCTGCTTTATGAGACCCTCAATGAAATCTGGCCTCTCGACGCCAGACTCTATCCTCTGCCTCAGCTTCGCCCGAACTAATGCCTGGTTGTCTGTAATCGCGAGCTTCTTAAGTCGCAGGAGCATCCGTACTGCAGGCTTGAGTCCCATGTCAGCCAGAGCGGACATGAAAGCGGTCTGCATCACTGAGTTGGCGACGAGTTTAACCCATGGATGGTAGTCACTCTTATCGAGGCAACCAAACGAAGAACCAAAACCTAGGTCTCCAATAACGTCGAAGGTGGTCCAATTTAGCCACTCGCGCATATTCAAGGGGGTCGAGCCATCGCCACATTGCTCTTGCAGTCGGTGAATCAATAGATCTACGTATGATCCGATAATAGGCTCTTGAAGCTGCATTGACCGCTCTGAGAATCCGTGTGACATTTGGCGTCGCAAGAAGCCGTGTTCGTCTCGGAAAGCATTGATGATACCTCGAGGAATGTTGTCGACAGCGCGGTAAAAGCCCTCGTACTTAGGCAACTCCGGCGCACCATTGTGGCGATGACCGTAAATATCCTTCCAAGCTTGGGGGTCGCTGAATGCTAGCTCGTACGGAGATACTCGCACAATCGGTCCATATTTAGCGTGTAATTCTTTCATATACACGGGCAGATCACCCCGGTACAAGCGTATATATTTGAAGAGAGGTGTGAGCTTCCATAAGAACGGACCGGGAAAGGATCGTAGAGGGTGTAGAAAGACATTGTAGAAAGCCTTGCCCACAACACTGGCAATCACCTTTTAGTCTAGTCAGTTGTACCACTCTTATTTATATACTTCTGAAGCCAGAAGGGAATCGGACTCACTAGTGCACAGCCTATAAAAACAAAGTTGAGTGGACTCTCCAGACCTAGAGGCGCCATTTTGCCAAGTATGCTGTAGACGCGGTAAAGAGCTTTGGAGTTTTAACGAACTGTCTCTATCCTAAGCGACAGGAACATGTTCTAACTTATACGAGTTTAGAATCCCGTATCGGAGCTCGCGTCGGGCTCTCGTGGCTATCATTTGGGGCGCCTTGAAGACGAAGACTCGACTACCCACCTCCTCGACTATAGTGGGTTCGGTGGGTTGACGGATGGTCGGATTTCCACGGTAACTTGGCATGCATTGGACGGATGTATCTTAAATCCACTCGGCCAATGTCCCCCCTCTTGCATATAACCCCCTTCCATCTCCACGATCGTGAGGTCATGTCCAGGGGTCGAACGGATGAATTCCAATAGCTTTTGTCTCCGACCGTCCGAATTCGATGCAACATCAATAACTTGATGTATAAATCCGGACCTATTCCGTGCACAGTTTTATTCTTATTCACATCGGAGAATGAAGTTTCCATGCACAAGCCACAAAATCCTTGCGTGTAAACGGGATTAAGGGTTTTGACGATGCCGAAATGGAAATCCTCCAATCACTCTCAACCCAGTTTCTCGGGCTGACGCATACAATTATGCTTATTTCAACGATCCACCGGTGACATGACATTTACTAGGGTCACTAGGGTTATTTATCTAGATTATGATTGGATCCGCCGATACAGCTATGCCAAGTCTATATTATCGGATTAGTAATATCATAAAACTTTCATCCCCTAGTTAACTACAGTAGTTGTAGCGTTTCATATGTCCCGAATCCCGATGCTAAGCCTAGGGTATTTTTATTAGCCTAGTATTTATTCTCTGGTTTGGTTGGTCATTAATCTAATAATATTTTACGACACATGATACAATCGGCAACAAAGCCGATTAAATACGACTATACTTTAATCCCCATAGAAATATATCGAATGCAAGTAGTTTAAACATAGTGTGTAACGATCTCCGATTAGGATTTAACTGCCAGAAAATTACAACCTATCACAGACTTACAGATCTAGCCCTACCAAGTGTAGGTTCTCTATATTACCTCATCAGCCAAGCGTCTAGGTTATAGCTTTAACTTACAACCTTTAGGTAATCAACATACTGTTACACGAACTTAGATGACTGATCTTACCTTGTACATGCTATAACATAATTTGTAGGTAGTAAAGAATCCAAACCACTAAACGCACTCCAAAGCCTATAGCTTGGCGATGATGCATGCGGGTATCGCCAGCCGAAATATATCATCTCTTGCTCCCTCATAACTCAGTTATTCTTCATTCTGGCAAAGATCTCGATTGAAATTTGCCATCCAACGTCATTTCGGTATTGCATTGCCTAACATGGACCGCTACCTAGGCTTATGTGTCTATTGGGAAACCATCTTGTCTAAAAGAAGTTCAAACCTCCAAAATATACTTAGTTCACGATATGCAATAAAAGAGGCATTGGGAAGATAGAGATTAAGTTGGAATGGGGCTGTTACTGCAAGGACAGGAACCCCTAAGTGGTGGTTTCCGTCCCAGTTATAGCTAAAAGGAGATACATAGGTACCTACACACGTAAAAGAATGTTGCTTTAGCCTAGCCAATTAAGCTTAATTACATATTCCGTCATATCTCCCCCTTAACAGGTACCTAGGTACCTCTCTCCCCAAATCCGTTAATGCCAAATTTTCTCATTGGTAGACGTTCACATATGTATAATGAAAGGGGATTATATAAAGCACGAGTTAGCAAACTCGTGCTTGGATCCCTTAAATAATGGACGCTTTGTTTAGCACGTGTTTCTCGCCTCGTTTTTTGCATGTGCACTACTTTGTTCTAGGAATCCTCCTTTTATATTTCTGTGGAATCCTATTGGTAAGGTTCCGGTCTTTATAATGTTCTTTCTATAACTTACCTTTCGGATAATCCGTCTGTGCTCTCAAAGTGATATTAAAGTCATACGAGTGATGTCTTTCAAGTTATGCAGTTCTCTTGAGGGAAAAGCCGCTTCGAACTTAGGACCCTGATTGTCGGGATTCCCCACTTATAGCCGCACTTACGAGCTTGTTGTTAATTATCTATGTCGCCTAGGTCTACTCGCAAAGACTACATTCGCTACCCAGCCTGAAAGCGCTAGCTTTTAGTTGAAGACATAATGGCTCCCTTTGGCGATAGCACTACTGTACTCCACCCTTACATCGATATGCAGCTGCTTTTTACTGCAGGACTAACATGGCATATGTCTTACATGAAGGTAACACAGAAGGCCTACGATCATCGTAAATGTAATAGCCACCTGTGAAATTTGTGACCTACATGTAAGACTCATGTATGTACCTAAATCAGATAGTTATACCGCTAGTTTATCCCATGTATACCTATGTGTGTCAGTAAGAGGTAGGCACATATCATATCATGACATAGGCATATGTAAACATTAGTATGTGTACCTTGTAAGCAATAGGTTGTGTAACGACATGATAGGCTATGAATGCCACCCAGTATTCGCAAACAAAGCTTAAAGGGTCCAATATGAAACTTAAACCTCAAAGAAGTAACCATCCATTGTGAACTACACACAGTGCTTTAAGCGAATGTAGTGTGTTCACTTAGATGCAGGGGGCGTTGTGTTACTATTCTTCCTTCCGTCCCGAGGCGGCTCCTTACTACTTAAACTGAGGCGAATCACCGCTCTCAAAGAACATCGAGAAAAAACTCATTAGATACAGCGAAGGAAGCAGGTACTACCTCAAAGAGTACATTATAAACTAACTTGCTCCTACCTTTGTTAGGTACCTAGACGCTCATTCTTTTTGTGAACATCTATCTATATATACTTCTCCCGGGTTCCTCTACATTTTGCTCTTCAGCCGAGCATCTTCACGTCGACAACTTGACAACTTGACAACTTGACAACCTAGACATCTCTTTAAAACCACTCACCGTATTCGTAATGGGGAACCAAAGTATTCATCTCGCCAAGGTCTGCGAGGCATGGGACCACCTACAAAAGCGCATCGAAGCCGGTACTTATGTCCTAGACGGCCAAAATCTCCACATCTCGGATGTTGTCGCTACGGCCCTGTATGTTTTCGTATTATCGTAGAATGTATCATTTTACTGACGAGATGCTAGACACGGGTGTATACCCGAGATCACTGAAGATCCGGATATCATCAAGAGCATCCAAGACAGCGTGGATGTCTTATACCACTACCTTTCAAAGGGGTGGCATGTTTACGGTATGTAAATCCGGGATATTTTGTTGGCATCAACCACTAACTAGCTAATAGGCGTCAATACTGGATTCGGAGGTAGCGCGGATACCCGTACTGACCAAGTTGTAGCATTGCAATCATCTCTGATGCAGCTTACCCAGTCTGGTATCATGTCAAGATCTACCGATGGCTCTGTCCCAGGCCACTCCATGCCCTCGTCATGGGTCCGCGGAGCCATCGCCGTCAGATGCAACAGTAACCTCAGGGGTCACTCTGCGGTGACGCTCCCGGTCCTCAAGTCCATAGTAGCCTTGGTCAAACACAACTTGAATCCTATGATACCGTTACGCGGTTCTGTTTCGAGCTCTGGCGACCTAATGCCCCTATCCTATATCGCTGGCACTATAGAGGGAAACCCTGATATCCTCATTGAAAAGAACGGCAAAGTTATTCCCGCACCGCAAGCGTTGAAGGAGGCTGGATTACAGCCAGTGAAGCTTGGCCCGAAGGAGGGTCTTGGCTTAGTCAACGGAACATCGTCATCAGCAGCGCTTGCCGCCATGGTTATTACAGACGCACATCGTCTGGCATTGCTTACACAGGCACTTACTGGCATGGCGGTAGAGGTAAGTCAAGACTCGTAAGCTTATCGTAATAGCACCAGTAGTTAACCAGTGGAAAATATAGGCACTGAATGGGAGTCGAGAGAGCTTCAACCAATTTATTGCTCAGACGCGACCGCATCCGGGCCAAATCGAGGTTGCTCGCAACATTTACTACTTCATGAGTGGTTCGGCCCTTGCGCGAGATGTTCTCCGACCGAAGGACCGCGGTTCTGAGGATATGGCACAGGATCGTTATTCCGTACGAAGTGCTCCGCAATGGATCGGTCCACAGGTAGAAGACTTGCTTCTTGCAGATCAGCAGATCAGCATTGAGCTCAACTCTACTTGTGACAACCCACTGGTCGACGTGTCGAATGGCGATGTTCACTATGGCGCTAATTTCCAGGCGGCTTCCGTGACGTCGGCTATGGAGAAAGTGCGGCTGTCACTGCAAATGTTTGGCAGGATGCTCTTCTCGCAACTGACCGAGCTGGTAGATCCGGCGCTTAGCGGAGGTCTCCCAGCTAACCTCGCCTCGGATAATCCTAGCTTGTCATTTACAATGAAGGGGGTCGAGATTAATATGGCGTCCTACATGGCTGAGCTGTCTTACTTCGCTAGCCCAATGAGCCCATTCGTCCAGGCGGCCGAGATGCATAATCAGTCTGTCAACTCGATGGCACTGGCATCGGCACGCATGAGCGCACAAGCTACGGAAATCTTAACATTGATGGCCGCGGCTCATTTGTATGCCAACTGCCAGGCCGTAGACCTCAGAGCGCTACACAACCTTTTTGTGCAGAAGGCCACCAAGACACTTGCGTCTGTCACTACTGAATTCTTTTCTGGTAACCTATCGGCCGATGAGCTGGAAGTTCTCCAAAAGGCACTGTCGGCTCATGTATACCCTTCCTGGTGTTCTTCGGGCAAAAAAGATCTCCCGGATCGTTGCAAAGCTCTTGTGAGCACAGCTGTGCCCATCGTTGTCGAACACATTAAGGGGTCCATTACAGACGTAATTCAATGGAAAGAGCAGGCTGCTAAGGCCATCTATGCCGTATGGGAAGAGACCTCTGACGCCTTCCGTGCTGAACCGCACACTCCTGAGGTCCTCGGGAAGGGCGCAAAGGTTTTATACCAATACGTCCGTCAAACGCTCGGCGTACCATTCCACCAAGGCTTTGTCGAGCATCCCACTATCCAGGCCGACGAGCTAGACGGACGACCTAAGAAGACCATCGGGGGATGGATCTCCATTGTCCACGATGCTATCAAGGATGGTTCTCTGTACGGACCTCTGATAGAACTGGCTGCGAAAGGCCTAGTGAACGAGACAAATGGTCACGTAAACGGGTACACTAGCGGTACCAACGAGAAGAACTGAAGCAAAACTTGAGCACATAGCTGTCCTGTCTCATTTGCTCGAGGAGCCGATAACTACATGGCTTTAGCAACTTCAGAAAGAAAAGCGGCAGGACGCGATGGCTTGGCGTGAGCGAGAATTGTGTTATTTGCGATGTATTATGTCTGAAATGCTTCTTTCCTTGATAGATATCTCGCTAAGTTTATATATACTGTCATAGCATTTAGTTTATAGAGTCGTTATATTATTCAACCGCGTTGACCACTATTTTCTTTCCTTTTCGTGTTTCTTCGTGAGTTGTATTATGACACATGTCTTGGGCTGCGGCTAAGCGAGGAATCGAATGTCCCTGGTCCTGGTCCCCGTAGTACAATCGTACTATGTACGGATCCGTACCCATACGGTACACTGCCAAATCAGCCAAGACAGGGATCGTTGATCCTAGTAGCCCCAGATAAAGCACGAACCAAGGCAACGGTCCTAACTTGTTAACTCCATCTTCAATCGGTTGACCCTTTTGATGAAACTGATACGAAACTACGCGAATACTGCTGGAAAAAAAAGATTATTGGCCTTTGAATGCCTAGCGCACATCTTACGCCAATTCCTACCTATTATGAATAGTGGAGGTGTTTCCAAGAGAATATTCCGCAGAGAGACTGGTGTCATTGTCGAACGATTTGGTTCACGAAGTAGTAGTGTTCTCTTACCTGCCTCAGAAGCATACTATGATGCGTTCCAGGGATTTCGGTGCCCCCACGTCTCGTGCCTCTCCTTTTGCATGAGTTCTTTCGGGTTAGCATTGAGAGGCTATCGGTGAGGGATCTTAAATCCTGGAGAGGCACTTCCTGTACCATAACTGTTGTGCATACCGTCTGACCGTACATACAATCATTCCCAATCTAGCGGGGGATCTGCTTTGCCGAACCTTGGCACTTACTTAGCCGGTAGTGCAGGTAGGCGGGGGGCATAAAGCAAACGAAACTGTGGACGATGGATACAGATATTTCCGTTCGCACGCAACGTCCGGACGAGCTGCCGATGGCTGGGAGCATGACATGTCTCAGCATAGACCAATCGTATCTTTTAATCGCTTACGTGTGTTCTGCTTCTGTATAACTACCTACATAGCTTATCTTAGTCCAGATGTCTGGATCTGTATCACCACGCCTCTTTGCGAAAGGATGAAAATCTCCCGAGTACGGCACCCATGATTGGTAAGGCTGTGCATTTTAGAGCCATGCAATGGACTCTTCGCTGTACTACGCTGGGGAAGAATGCTGAAGAAAACGCCTTGTCAACGTGACATCGGCGGCGTCATGATATAGAGAGGTAGGACATTCCAAGCCGTGGCATCGACGAGGCTTGCAGATTACAGCTTTTAAAGAACAAAAAGAAAAGAAAAAAAAAACCCCCCAAAACCCGGTCAAACAAACAACCAGGTCCGGGAGTTGAGATGATGCTGCCAGAAGCCGAAAGCAGTAAATGTGGCTGCTAACATGTTGGGCCGATAGGCTACCAAACTTGGCTCTCCCTGCGAGATTTCGATTTCGATTTCGCGGATGGGGATAATGGGTCATGGGCTGTTACGTGCATCAGACTCTAGTTCACAAAGATCCAATTCTAGATCGCCACATCACGCTATATATACATGACGGAATACATAATGTATATGTACGCATGTGTACCTAATATACCAAAATGTATTATGACGATATTGGATGCTTCGATGCTTGTCCTATCACACCGCCAACTCATGCTCGAGAATCATTCTAGCAATTCTGTAACGTGATTGGTCTGCCTGTGGCCGAGATGGTGTAGAGAGGCAAACCACCAACGAATAGGCTGGAGGATGTAAGTGATATTAGTTTTCTCTTATCGCCCTAATCAGACTCGTTCCCATAAGCGCGGGTGGTGAAATTTCCATCTCAGCTGCTTGCCGGTGGGGCTTCAATAAGGGGCACTTAGCGATACCGATGTTGTTCCTGCAGAAATCTTCCGTATTTTTTCCCACCTCCTGCATGATACATTATCAACATCCACACCGGGTGTTACGGTACTACATAGTATGTATACGGCCTCAAGCGCAAAGCTTCCTGTTTGGCTGTGATCTCCTTTGTTCGAGGACACTCGAGATGAATAGAGGTAGGTATTGTTCATTAGGTACTTAAAGCATCAAAGCTTATTCAGCTTTCTTCAACATCTTTACTTAGGTAAATATTGAAGTTGATTGGTTTAATCCCTGGACGGCATAATGTGATCTTTGAGAATCCTTCAAGAAACAGATACCCGATTTGGCATCTGCAATCACCCTCGAAAACCTGGGGTAGCGAAAACAGGACCGAGAAAAACAAATTGGAAGCTTTGATTCTGAAGTGTTCTGGGAGGATTTCTTTTTTGGCGAAACGGGCGGCTGGACGGTTCTGACTGGAAATGCGACCTGCGTATTCCCAGGGTTCGAAGCAGGGGTGTCGTTGTGAGAGTTTAATTAGGTAAATCTAATCCGGGGTCATCAATAGAATGGATCTCCCTTCCTTGCCTAAACGCCACACGTGCATAACAGTACCTACTTGAGAGATATGGAAGAGTTGTTTGTCTAGCGATGTTAAATGATACCTACCTATATACGTAAAGTACGCATAACTATGTGAGATAGGGGTATCTATTTTAATTTAAATTTGGACGATACATTAAGTACCTTCGTTCTACCGTTAGTTAGCTTTGCCGAATCCACGTGCGTGGAATTGTTTTCAACTTTAGTAAGTGCTGTCGGTTTCCTTTGAGCGCATGCATCAATCCGTTTTGGGTTTGTGGGGGCATATCTTAACTTAAGGTTTCACCCGTTGTTATTGGTTGTTATTGGACATTGGAAATATCCTAGCATCAATTAAAGTAGCACTGCTAAATTCAAAGTAGGTACAGGCAGCTGGGCAAGCCTGGCAAGTTGGGTGGTACTTACCGTTGACTGGAGTTTATCATCAGAAGACAGGTACTACTAGTATTAGCATTGCTGTCGACATCTTGGACATCCTGGACATACCTACCATTACTTCGTACACTACTTTGTTACGAACAAGGCTCTTTTAAACAATGTAACCATTTCTTCTTAACTGGACTTTGGGCTAGCCCCTTATTGAATCTTGCTTTCTTTTGCCTTGCAATTCAGGATTTTTTATTTTTTATTTTTTATTTTCTATTTTTATTTTTATTTTTCTTCGTCATTGATCTGGGTCATTTAAACATTTTGTCATTCGTGCAGGCTGGACTGCAGATACAATCTATTTCTCACACGAGATACTGCGTTTTCTAAAGAGCTGATAAAAAAAACCCTTGCAACAACCAACAGCTTACAGCCTACAGGTTCTCTGCACGCGCTTAGCTGTCTCAATCTCTTCGCCCCCTCAACCCTGTCATTTATATGCGGCGTCAATCAGGGTCGTCCAGGCGTCTCGAACAAGAAGGTCCGACCTCGACAGGAGTTCGTGACGCCGATTGGCTTTCGGCAGCCCCTTGAACAACGACATACAGCTGAGTCCCTCTTTGCTCTCTTTTGCATTGTAGACTGTGGATTGTATCTAGACTATGTCGCATCTATCGCTTCAGTGTAGCGAAAGCCCGCTAGATTCTCATCATTTGGAGGACAGTCCAACAATTGGTAGGGCCGTTGTGAATTATCCCTTGGTTGGCGCCAATCCGCCGCCGTCACTGTCAATACCGCCTCCCAGCGAAAAGTTAGTGAGATTGTAATTTTTCTTTTATCCTTTCATCTCTTTACACACTGACCACCACCGTCCACCGTCCACCGTCCATCTTTACTTGTGGCTAGCTGTTGCGTGGAGATGTATGCTGTGGAATGCTAGGTGGAGAGCAGCCTTTTTTTCTTTTTTTTTTCTTCTGTTTTTTTTTTTTATCTCTCAAAGAGATTCTCTCTTACCGATTTTCTTTTTCATTACAAAACTTCCTAACCTGGACCCCAACTTTGAATAATTGCCCTATGATCTGTCGTGCATGACACTGGTGCTGACTTAAATATCCCCACTTGTTATTAGACAGCGGAAAACTCCAGCTCCTAGCCCTCTGCAAACAAGTACGGCAGTGTCTCCGCCTTCAAGCGCAAGCCCATCTCGATCAAAATTCCCCGAACCTATCCACGAGTTATTCCCAGGTGTTTCGGTTGCCCAGATCCTGTCGCGAGAACCGCCACAGTATCCCCTTCCAACACGCATCGATCGTTCAGGTGATAATTCTCCAGTCTCACCATTTTCTCCCAACCACGGGTTCGTATAGATCTTCCTTAGTTCGCCATCACTTCGATACCATCCTTCGCCTTGTTGACGACTAGAATTTTAAATAAATCTAACACAATTTACGTGTGCTTTAGGGCGACACCTTTCTCCCATCCTTCGAATGATATTCCAGGTGTTTCCGACGCAGCCGCATCCACAAAGCCGCCTGTAGGCTCTACTAGTACGAGAACAAGCGGCATAATGGAGATACGTTAGACTTGTTGGTAATATTAAGAGTATTCTCGGGTATGTAGCTGGAGTTTAAGATCGTTACACCGTCGCCTATTCCCTGGAGTGAGGAGGCAAATTTGGAGCAATCCTTCACTTGCCAAGACACGTCGCTATTCGAAGCGTGAGCGTCAATAACGAGCATAGAGCCAAATAGAGCATTGACTCTCATAGTGGATATGAGTTTCAGGTAACAGTTCTATCACAAGACTAAAAGATACATAGAATGTAGAACTTTTCCAGAAACTATCAGAAACTATCCTATCCTTGAAAGAGCAAGAAGACTAATGCATACATTAGATACCTAACTTTACTATAGCATTAAGACAGCTTTATTTATAAAAAGGAAATAACGAGCTATAAGATTCAAAAGAGTCTCCAAGATGCGCCGACATCGACAAGGCCGGCGTAGAAATGCCCCGAACCGAAAGTCGGAGTTATCGGATACAGTAACATCGTTATACAAACACCAATATTACGGCCATGCCGGCATCATACGCCAGGAGTAAAGGCTCCATGCGATAATAACCATAAGAAAAAGGAATATAGAGCGGCAAAGCTAAACCGAATCAATCGTAAAGCTTCCGACGACCCTGGTCGCACTCGCTGATCCCGGACATGTTCCCGAGACAGGAGACGGGCACCGTACGTTGAAGAACTAAAGCTCATAACTCCGCATTTCATAACATGATATAGGTAGTAGTAGATTTTGCCCTTCATTAGTCCAACTAGTAACAGACCCAAACCCCTGATTAAACAGTCCCCTCTAATGTATACTAACGACGCGATGGCCTCTCTATCCACCTTAGGGCTACCACTCCACGATCAAGACCCCGGAAATTGGATCGCCTCATTTGAGCTAGCTTCATCCCCACAATCCCCGCGTTCGCGGTCAGGGTTTTCCCACCAATTTCCCCCCCCAGGCGGTCAGAGATATTATTATGTATTATTCAGACGTTCCGTTCCGTTCTTTTGTTGTTGTTGTTGTTGTTGTTTGCTAGATCTTCACCGCCTTGACCATCTAAACTTAGCGACTTGCCAAGTGCGTTCTGCCTTGCTCACTCGCTCTCACAATTTTCATCGGGAAAGTCGTCTGTGCTGTTAAGTCAGCTCGGAGAAGATGACGGACAATAAATCAGAGCTCGATGTTGAGAGCGCGAAGGTGGTATGGCTTTGAATCGCAAATTTACTTCAAATATGAATAATAAGCTAATATTCTTTCAGGAATTTAGCGCGACTGTTGCTCAATATGATTCCTCCGGCCCCATCACGGAGGCCGAGAAGGCGTTGCGATGGAAGCAGGATAAGCGCATCGTGCCATTGTCGGCTGGCATCTACTTCCTATGCTATTTAGATCGGTCCAACATAGGGAATGCCAAAATCATGAACGCGTCGACTGGCGACGATCTCATGACTGAGACCGGCATGACCAATTTTCAGTACACCATCTCGCTCATGATTTTCCTTGTAGCGTATGGTCTATTTGAAGTCCCCTCCAACATCCTACTCAAGAAGCTGAGACCGTCCCGTTGGATCGCGTTTCTCATGTTCGCATGGGGCGCTCTCACAATGGGCCTCGGAGGTGTTCACAGTTATGCCACCGTGACCGTTGTTCGGTTCTTGCTCGGGGTGTTTGAGGCTGGTCTGTTTCCTGGTCTCGTCTACTACCTCACTTTCTGGTACAAGACCGAGGAGCGGAGTATTCGCGTGGCTTTTATCCTCGCCTCGGCGACTCTCGCAGGAGCTTTCGGGGGTGCTATCGCTTATGGCATCGGACATATGAATCAAGCCGGTGGTCTCTCTGCTTGGCGCTGGCTATTCATCATAGAAGGAGTGCCGTCATGCCTTTCTGCTTTATTAGTCTGGTTCCTACTACCAGATTACCCCGAGGATGCAAAATGGCTGAGCACCCAAGAAAGGGATCTCGCAGTCCAACGACTTCACATCGAGGGAAGCAAGGGTCACCACAAGGCGATGACTTGGGTCGATGCCAAGGCGACCTTAGTTGACTGGAGACTTTGGGGCCATTATCTCGTTTATTTTGGCATTTCAACTCCGTTTAGCTCGCTTTCGCTGTTTACCCCTTCCATCACGGCAGGTTTGGGTTATCACGATCTTCAGGCCCAGTTAATGACCGTGCCGCCGTATGCTGTCGCTTATGGTAAGTTCTCAACAGCTGCTATATTTTTTCTTCCCGTTGGATTTATGGCTAACTAGTATTTAAGTGGTCCAAATCCTGACCTCCTGGTCAGCGGACCACTTCAACGCTCGTGGTCTACACTCGGCCGCATTGGCCACTATCGGAGCCGTTGGTTTCTTGGCATCGGCCGTGCTGCCGGCGGACGCATATGCGTCCCGATACGGATGTCTGATTGTCGCGGCGTCAGGCGCCTTCGCCTGTATACCGCCACTGCTAGGTTGGCTTTCATCCAACATCTTCAGCACCGCCTCGGTCGGTCTTGCAATCGCGCTGAACATTGGTCTGGGCGGTGCGCCTGGCCAGATCGTAGGCGTCTGGATCTACAAGGCGGATGAGGCACGGCTAGGATACCCTACGGGTCATTGGACAAATGCGGCCCTGCTTTTTATGGTGGCAGTGGGTTGTGTAATGCTAAGGGTGTACTATGCGCTCCGCAATAGGAAGATAATTCGTGGTGCCACCGATGGGGAGGAGGTCCGGCTGTTCAAGTACTGAGCGATAAATACTATTTTTCGATTATTTTAGAAAGCCAATTATATACACGCGCCTATGATAAGGGTATTAATACATATATGAATTTATGAGGGAGAATGAGATTTCTGTAAATTAATGCCAAGGGCTTGAACTTGCTGGTAGTCACTGCTCCGTTGATTAGAATGCCCCCAAGGACTCCCAAAAATATTTTCTAATTAAACGATTTTTACCGTTAGGTACCTACCTATCATATATTCGTACTAAATCCTCCGTCTCGAGTTACCATATTCTGTATAATATCTTATAACGACCTCATATTTAAGGGAAGTCGTTATTCTACGCAGGCGGGGGTTATAAGTTATCTAAGAGTCATTACTCAAATACTAGACAAGAGACACGAGTTAAGTTAGATTATACAATAGGAATACCCAAACTTACCTGTCTAACAAGTGCTCTAGACTACCATGTAAGAACATCGAAGGGACTTGCAAGTAAGAGTCAAGGATAAGTTTAACTTTGGATATCACCAACTTATGCATTGAGGGTGATATTTTATTTCTTTGTACATTGTACTTGGTATTTGTACATTGATTTTACATTCCTAGATTTGTTCATCACCGGAGCTTGTTCATTATCCGCTTTCTCACGACCTGGCTAGCTATCTTGCCTCCCCGCTGCAGCGCGATGGCACCAACAATAGCATATACGGCACCGGCCATGATCGGGTCGAATCCGGATCCTTTAATGTTTTCCGGCTAAAAGCATTGCGTTAGTACTTAGGATCTAACTCTCTGGGAGGAGGGAAAGTAGCTTACCATTCGGGGTTTCCACCTCACCACTTCTGTTAATCCGGTGTCTATAGCTAACCTAGCTAGCTTTTTTAAGTCGAACACGTCGCTCGGCTGTGTTTCGAAGAGATTGTCGATCCCACGAAGGGCGGGATCTTCAAATGGTTCTCGTCGGTCCGCAAAGGGATCGTCCTCAGACCCTTTATAGCTAGGAGGGGAGTTGATAATGGATTGTGTGCACTCGAATACACATATCTGGCGACCTGGCGTCGTATGTTAATATGCTAGATATATGTGTATATATATAAATATATATATATCCTCCTAAGGAACATACCCAGAAATGCTAGGCGATCGTTGAAACCTCTTCGTCCTTGGTCAAAGCTCTTGTGGGTTACCGCTAACCATTTGAGCTCGTCGGGCAGCATGCGCTCTCCTTCGGGACCCAGGAATCTCTTTAAGGCTTCATCCAGCTTCTCTGGGCTCTTATTAACTTTCCACTGCGACCGAGAGGGGTCCTTTGTGATATGAGGTGAGAAGGGCGCCTTCATCCGTTCTGGCGTATAGGACCATCGTGGGCGTTGCTCTACATCTTGTGTCAAGCGCGCTGTCGCTGTCGAGAATGATGCGGCGGGTCGGTAGGAGGGAGGTACGGACTTGTTCGAGCAAGTCCGAACAGCTTGACGAGCAAGCCTCGTGATAGATTGGGAGGTGGTAGAGGCCATTGGCTATGATTTTGCCCTTCTCATCGCATTATCAAAAAGCGTAAGCGTTTAAATTGAAATTCGCAATTGACGAAAGGTTCAATTGCGGCGGAACTTTTTCGGGTGGGACACTACGCTAAAGAGATTTATCCAATCAGCAAATCAGTAGCTACAGATATTAGCCTCTAGCTTATCAAGTTATTACTTATCAGCTTATCAGCTAATCAGTCATTTCGTCAGTGCTCTATAATTGGTACACTTTTACTTCTACGGCCCTTGCATTGATCTTCTTCCTCTTCGTCTCCTTCCATTCCACTTCCACTTACACGTCCTGTCTTCTTAAAACGCGTCTTCGTTGCCGGAGTCATTCTTCTCATCGAACCCAGCATTATGGGCTCTCGAACTCTAGGTGCCATTTAAGGCTTTCAATCTTCATCTTCTTTTCCATTCATTTCCTTGCTCTCTTTAATAATGACTAGCCCGGCGCAAACCCGCGATAGTGATCGCGTCGTCGATCCTCACCCTCTAGTCGCAGAGCTTGCCAAAGTCTTGCCCAAAGATCGCAAGCTCACGGCCTATCATCTCTCGACGCCTCCCACGATAACCGAGCCTCTCTGCCATCCTCCCGCGCACAATCCTTCTAACGATTCTACAGACAGGCGGCCGAGTAAGCCATTAAAGACGTACTGTGAAAAGCATTTCTTGGCTATCTCGATTGGAACTGGGAAAGAGGGTGTGCATCTTGATAAACAAGTTTTGGTTCTAGGACTAGAGATCTACATATATACAACATCTTTCTCTACCATCATCTTCGTCTCCAAGGCGGATTCCACTGGATACTTGAACCTCTTGAATCTTCCCAAAGGGGCACCATCTCCAATTCGAGAAGTTACAACGTGCTTTCTTGCCTTCTTAGTCGCCAATCGAAGACGACAAGCAAAACAACTAGTCGTAAATCTATTCGCCCGAGCTCAATCACAGTATCTTTTTCCAGGAAGCGTGAAAAACAGTGGCAAGCACGTGCTAGATGATAGAGGCTTAGTGAAGTGGTGGTGTCGCGTGCTAAACTCGCTGCTTGAAGGTACCGATTATCAAGACGTGAGGGAGCCTTGGGATGCCATACATGGATACTTGGTTGTTCCCGGACTAGACAATTATGAGACCCGCGCCTTTTTGCCTCGGACTAGTCTGGCAATATCAAACTGGACATTAGACCACCCCCTCGAGAAGATATCACCGTATACAAATGATCCAAGCAACTTTGGCCCCAACGTTCATCCTAGGTCACTCATCCCGATGTATCCAGACGACCCAAAGGCCCGTTTTGTTCAAGAATTAGAGGAGTCGATAGCTGAAAAGGCCAAGCTATTAAATGGCTGGAAGACGCCAAAGACATTGGATCAATTCTGGGAGATGATGGCATTCCGGCAAGAGTGTTCTAGCGGTAGATTAACTGGATTCATGTGGGTTGTCTTCGAATCCCAAGCCAATCCAAAATCCAGCTCGTCAACTGTCAAGTCCGCAGCAACCATTCCCACGCCGAATGCCTCGTTTAGCGCGCCAGCCGACGACATAACGCCTCCCACTTCGCCCCGTCCAGCTCAACGAAGCAATACTTCCCTTGCCACTCCAAGTGCTTCGTCGTCCAAGTTGAATACCCCAAGGACCAGAAAGCTTCGACGGAAGCGTAAGGCAAAGAAAGTCCTAAGTGGCCCAATCATCCCTCGGAAGCCTCAGATCAAAACACACCAACGGGCCCAATTCCCAAAGCAAATTGAGACGCCATATTATTTCTGGCCGGAGAAAGGAAGAGGACAAGTCGTCCTAAGTGACAATAGTTATAAGAGAGCTGTCGAAGTACTGCTTCATCTTGAGTTCAAGACTCTAGAACATGCAATCGCAAGTACAGCACGATGGACTAAGGAAGTCAACATGGGCGAGAATTGGGCATTGGACATTATCGGCGAGAGAGCAAGTATCGATTCTACGGCGTCATCCGATACAAGTGGGACGATCAACAATTTGTCTGGAATGATACGGAAGCGCTCAGCTGACGAGATTACGAACGAGATCATTTCATCTTCGCCAGCAGTTAATACGCTTGGCGGCGGCCTCATTCGGAAGAAGGCGAAACTTGATACCAGTGCAACCGATGCGTCCGTTAATGCAGACCAAGGTTGTCCCGAGGCCGAGTCAGAACCTAAGGCCAACGTTCTTGGAGCTGGGCTGATTCGGAAGAAGCCGAAGGCATCTTGAATTTTATTTTCTAGAGCAATCTTGCATTCTATTGGCGTGGGTTTGGACAGGATAGCTTGGGTTGCGAGGCGTTACCAATATTGGAAGAGTATGGCTTGTATAAGAGGTTCAGGAGTAGTCAAGGCTCTAGCGGGATGTGTTTTCAAGGAATATGGTTCATATAACCTTTTTTCTCTTACAAGATAATCTATTTGAAAAAGGTTAATATCAGTGTTTTCGAATACCCGAAATATCATGGGCTTAGTTGAGTCTTAGCTATCATGCTTCAATCTTCAAGAATTAATTATGATACACCTAAATGATAATCAGCGACGATATTAATTCGTATTAAGCCTTACTCCATGCAGCCCGCATCATTACAAGCCATTATCTAGGATTTCAAATGCCAGAAACGTTGCGTGCTTCAGACTTCTGCCTTGATAAACTTACACTACATGTATCGAAGCTCGGTGCTAGATGAGGTACATTTGTACATACAACTCCCCTTGCGTAAGTACACACCTACATGTAGATTAACACAAATTACAAAAATTACCCCTCATCATCAAATATCTCCTTGAAGCCGGCAAGATGCATTGCTGCTGCGGGCAGCGGAAAAATTAATATCAGTCACAACATAATTGTAATAGGCCAGCCTGTTTCTTCCAGGCATCTGGTGTAAGGTACCGATGTACCTCCAAATTAGCTTCATCTGGAAACTGAATTCTCGGCCGCTCATTGGCTACCCTCCCGATGGGTCCGGCAAGGGCCGAGTGCCGTGCATACGGAGCTCCGATTGGTGGACCGGTGTCACCGGCTTCCGTTTTAAGGTGTGGGACGGGAATTCCCCAACTTCATAACCTTTTTCTAACTTTTTCTAAGTTTCTCCAGACCAATATAAGATGTATAGATACCAGGTAATTTCGAGCTTTACCTTTTGTTGATATTTGAGGTGTGTCAGTTTGTTTGCCAATGTGAATTCGCCATTCCTGCAGTTATTTATTAACTTGTCGATTTTATATTAGGTACATAGCTTTAGGCTACGGCTACTAACGACTTGATATATTATGGCTTGTCCCCTTTGCCAGTCTCATATCTGAATAGTGATCTATCAGTTATAAGCCTGACAAGTGCCGGAAGACAACAGACAACAGACATCAAATGTGAAGTACGGATACGAAAAAGCGACCTTGTTTCTTAATTTAATAAACAAAGATGGTGGGATAAACCAAGAACAACAACTCTCTCGGTAGGCTATCATTCATGTCAGTTGAACGATAGAAAATGAGCACTTCGGATGAAACAGTTGCACAGCATGGCTTTATTGGATTCGGGTATCTTGTATCACCATATGGTGCTCAAGACGGTCGAGTGACACTCACCATAACCACAGCAGACTTCCATCTAACTTGTTGAACACTACGAGTCCGCATGTTAAACTGCAGTCTAGCAGCCCATACAGCTTCGTCTTGTGGCTCTTTCATATCTAATTAAAGACATCCTGTTTACAATAGTAGTCTCTCAGATATATATCACGGCGAAAAGGCATAGTTGTCGACTCACTTGTCCATTCTCTGTTGAAGGCAAACCAACCTACTGGTAAAATTCGATAATAAAATTGAGATGGCTATGGCCTCTTTTAGATGGGATAGTTAGGCTCTGTCGTATTTGTCTCTGGTGTGTGCTCGACTGGGCTTTATAGGTAAACCCCCTACTCGCATAACCCTAAACCTCAACCCGTTTCCCTCTACTCCCTCAAGCATAACACCAGGGCACTGTCGAAGTGTGTTACCATGCCTGTACTCACTGTCAACAGTCGTCAACCTCGTCGTCGTAGAGGCAGCTTAGTCGTGGCCAGGTACCTAGGTATAGTCGCCCCAAGCTTTTCCAGCCGCCTTATTCGCTCTCGCTTTAGTTTACCTTTCTGTCCCTTAGACTACCCACCGCGTGTTCTTTCCTTCTAATAACCTCATGCATCTTGAGTCACATCCCACAAGATCCTTTCTGCAAACTTCCGTCTTGACTTTCCTACTTTATTTTCCCACCCAACCACCCACACCCACACTCGCACTCGCACATAAAAGACTCAACCCTAGATCCTAGGAAGTCCTTGTCAAACATCTACACTACTTCCACTCCCCTACACTAAGGCAACAAAAACCTTATCCCCTGTCCCTCGTTTTGCGTTCTTTCGTTCGAAGGAACAATTAGAGATTGTATCACAATCGCGTTCATCAAGTCCGATTCCCATCTTTCACCATGCGTTATTCCATGACGCTGATCCTTGCGGTCGTGTGCTGCTTCATCGGCGGCTTCGTGGGCGCCGAGTGGTTCACCGACGGCGCCAACGCCTCGTGGTTCCCCCGCGAGACTGGTGTCGTTGCTCGCGCTGCTGTTCGCGCGGGTTGGTCTCCTAAGCCCACTCCGGCTCCTGGTACTGAAAAGCCGGAGGCAGAGCAGGTGTTGGATGTTCTCCTTGGGCGGGAGAACGGCGACAAAGATTGGGTGAATAACCAGACCTGTGGTTGGGTTTCGGGCCCTTCATGTAAGTATTATTACCTATATTTGATGATGAAACTAGACTCTTGTGGATTGGTATAGTAGTACTTACACTTATACCCAGCTGATCCCTTCACTTGCGGAGAAAGTTCCACTTGTGCTACGAACTCTGACCATGTTGTCGCCTGTGTATCTGGCACTTTCTCACCATTCTTCACTACATGCGTGGATTTCTCTGCGTACCAGAGAGGCTTTTGCGAGGACCAAGGATCGGGGGCCGGATGTTGGTAAGTTATCTTTTCCTTTCTCATCACATACTTACCATCTACTACCCTCCTCTCATCCCTGAATCTTTTATGAGAAATGCACTTCTTTCCCATGAGCACCAGTTATAACTATAGCCTATACTTGCTTTAATAATATGGCGCGTGAACATACACTAACACTCATACCCCTTTAGCATGGACAGCCGCTACGGCTCTTGCGCAACTTACCTCTGGACCAACGACCCTGTGCGCTCTATGTACCGTTGCTCTAACGTCTCAACGGCCATCACCATGCTAGACGTTCCGCAGTTCGTAGTGGACGCTTCGCTCTCGGCCTCCGCAGTCCAGACTCCTACCAACATCGAGCCCCTGAGTTCCGGCGTGTACCCCGGCAGCGAGCAACCATCTCCCAATACCAGCACAATTAGCGTCGGCGCTATCATGGGTAGCGTAATCGGCAGCGTCGTTGGTCTCATCGTCATCGGCTACATGTTATTAAGCTGCCGAGCTTATCGTAAGAAAGCCAAGGCAGACCACCACAACGTTCAGAACCGTATCGACAACGCCTTTCAACCCCCTCGCACTCCTCGAGTTCGAGGTCTCGCCATGTCTGCTTTTGAGCCCGAGCCCAGAACCCCCACCGGCCAGCGCCAGCCTGATACTTCGTCGTCCGTATACTCCCAAGACTCAGCCACCCCGGTCACCCCCTCGCGCAGCGCCAACCGAGCCTCCGCCCCCGTGTATACGCGCGTATCTCCCGAGACTCCCCGCATAGAGGCTCAGCGTGCCGCCCTTCTACCGGCTTCCAATCAATATCAAGCCGCAATCTCAGGCCCTCCTCGTTATGAGTGGAGACAAATGCACGTCCGCGCGCGACCCGAGAGTTCGCCTGTTCACGGGTACAACACCCCGCCTCCACGATACTCTCTGTATCCTACCGTTGAGACCCGCCTAAGCGCGGCTGACATGCAAGCGGTTGCCGAGGGTCGCGTGCATGCCCTCGTGCAGAACGAGGAAGACGCCGTGCTTTGGGTGAACAGGGAGCCTACCACCAGCTCCATGAATACTGAAGGCCCGACTGAGGCGACGCGTGACCTTAAGTAGGTACGATGTATGAGGCTAGAGTCTCTTCGTTGCGGTATGGAGGTTGCCCTGAGTGTGAAGAGGTGTGGATGTCTATAAGACATGCCGAGTGAACGAATCTCGGCAGAGCTGGAAAAGCTGGTATGGAAAAAGGAGAGAAAATTCAAATCATAGGCAGGATCTCACGCAGGCCTGTGGTCTCTAATGACGCTTCTTGCTTCTAGTTCGTTTGTTGCGTTGCGTTGCGTTGCGTTTGATATGAGCAGGAGAACGGAGTAACAGATAGACGAAGTCAAGTATTCGGGGCTAGGATGTAATGTATACTCGAGATCTTTGCCTGCGTGGTTTAGACACGTAGGTCGTCAAAGATCGCAAGATCAAAGTCTCGTACATAGGTCTCAAGCACGTGTCTATATAGGCATACACTCAATGACAACAACCTATCTTATACGTATCATTCAGAGATGAACTGACAACTATCCCCTATGCTCCTAACATACCTCGTAATCTACCGTTCATAGCCTCCTAACACAACCTCCTAACTATAGCCCATTAACCATAGCCCCTATTCTCGGCGCTACATAATCCATCAGAATACAGAGTTGGCATTTACTTTATATCGTATATACTTGATATATACTTCATGTGGTTATAACTTCATACAGGTAAAAGCAAATGGAATATATCTTTTGCCTCACGCAAACAACACCACTTCTCCGTTTTTACCCCCGCCCGACTCCCCCTTAAACCCCAAACCCCTATCTACAGATGCTCCGTTCCCTTCCATCTATGGGTATCTGATCCCCGCCGAGTAAAATCTCGCTATTTTGTTAGATTGTCGTTCATTTGCTCGCTTGTTTGCTCACTCGCTAAAAAGAAAAATAGAAATGTCAAGAAACATATATCTTCGAGTCATTCAACGCCGTATTGCTGTTTAGTAACGCATACTTTGTCTTTTTGGCCGATGTAAACCTGCCATATATCCAGTCGCGTCCTTTCATGATGTGGCATTACCACTCAACCACCGTGTGTTAACCGGTGTGATAGCTTGTCCGCCCGCCAGCACAGCCATTATATTGCGCATGGCGAGCTCCTCGAAGCCGATATGGGTTTCGACAGTACCGCCAGCATTATGACAAGTCAGGAGAGCTTTGGTTCCTGCAAGTGCCAGCAGCCTAGGATGAACATTAGGCTCGGTGGCGTGGACATCGAGGGCAGCGTTGCTGAGCCAGCCCTGTTCTAGCGCATCGGCCACCGCCTCATCATCGACGAGGGATCCTCGTGCGACATTAACAAGGCGCGCACCAGGCCGGAACCACCTAAGGCTCTCTAAGTTAATAATCTGGCCTGCACCACCAGGCGCACATAGCACAACACAGTCCGATTGACGCGCAAGCTGCTCGAGGCTGTTCACATAGCGCGCGCGCAACCGAGTCTCGAGCGCGGGCGGCTTGCGCTCGACATCGTAATATACGATGTCCATACCAAAAGCGGCGCTGCACTTAAGCGCAATTTGTTGGCCGATGTTCCCAAGCCCGACGAGCCCTAGAACACGGCCACGCAGATTGTGCGATTGCGTCGTGGCGCTCGCGTGACACGTCTGGAAGTTGTCGGCTGTTGCTGCTGACGAGATGCAATACGGTAGTACGCGGAACGTCGAAATGATCATCGCGAGGGCGAAGTCGGATACAGCCTCCGCGGCAGCAAGGCCACCGTTGCAGTATACGATACCTACGAGTTGTTAGCGTGAGCCCACCCCCTTTAATACCGATCGCAACATAAAATATACTTTATAGAGTTATCACATACCTTTCTCACCCAAAAGCTGCGTGTCAGCCCAGTCGAAGCCAGTGCCGGCGCTAGCGAAGACTTTGACGCTATCAGGAAGTAGAGAGATGAGTTCCGCATCCCAATTACCCATCTCGCCACCGGTACCCCAAAAGGGGCGGAAGATGGCGGAAAAGTCCCCCCAACGCTTCTCGCGCAGGGCTTGGATGAAGGCGGGCCTTTGACGTTCATCGACGGACGGGCGTACGACCTCGAACTGACCCGCGAATTCCGTGTAAGTCTCCGGGTTGTACTTGACGGGATCCCCGATGTGCAGCACGACGGGCTTGCTCCCCGTCGGACCCCCCAGCACGGACAAGGATGTTAACGTAGGTATCCCGATATGTTTGGGGAGACTGAGTGTGTTGCCAGGGCGTGTGGCGCCGAGTGCGGGGGAGGTGGAGCGTGGGGTTGGCGGCGCCGTTGGCATTGGGGTGTTTGTTGGTTCCGCCATGTTGTCGATATTTTCTAGGGGGTGAATATTCGACAACAGGAACGATGGAGGGGGAATTGGGCGGAGGGATAGGAAAAGGAATAAGGTATAACTATGTGGTGACTTTACTACCCTAAGGGTTCAGGTAGGACACGTTTGTGTGTGCCTGCGACTTGTGTGTCTTGTGTGTCCCTTCAGGTTGAGTAGGATCGTCACATCGGAGTAGCTCCCTTCACCGCCGAAGGGAAAATGGTGTGGACGGGAATTATAAGCCGCAGTCTAACCTTTATTCGTGACGGTGTGGGGGCGGCGATGTTATTCGACGCTACCTAGCAATCAGTAGCTAAGTCGAATTGAGGCATCGATGGTTCGAATCCACTTCTAGCAAGACTCCCGAAATAGTTTTTGTTGGTTACATGTAGGTAGATACTACTATGTAAGTAGAAGTACCATTGATAAGCTTCAACCAGCCAACGTGGAAACGAGTTGCTCCGAAACTAAGACCGTCAGAAAGAAAGAAGGAAAGCTATTACGGACTCTAAAGTAATGAGGTCACATAGCTTAGCTAGTAAGATGACGAAGTTTTATAAAACAAGGGGAAAAGAAAATTGATGGAGCTTCCCCCATCCCCATCGTGGGGGAGGTTAGATATTTTTTTTTCTCCCCATCGTTGGAGTACGTATTCTTTGTACGACAATAGGACGACAAGCAAGCAAGCAACCTGGAAGAGAAGCAGCAGCAACCACCACAGTAGAGACCCGGCGGGATGCCGTTTAGGGCAATACGGACCAATGAGGGACAGGGACTCGACCCCATTGGATATAGAAGCGTGCTTAGCGTGAGCGATTGCGGGAGTGTGGGGTCGTATTGTATAAATGTGCATAATGCACATGGACTTATACGTAGTATAGGTACCTACATATGCGTATGTGTATCAGGTATATATACGTACTTTCTGCCACATGGCTTTGAAACCTGCGTAGACTTATCTTTGTCTTAGACGCAAGACCTCTCAGAGCCTCCGATGATCGTCTCTTCTCTTGTCTTACCTTGTCAGCATGTCAATTAAGCCTAGTTAAGCCTATGCATCGTAATCTAGTACCACTTCCCCGGATCGTCGCAACTATTTTATCTTGAGTCCAATATGTAAATCTTTAGTCTATGCGCATCACGAGTTATCCATCCACTTATAACCCATCCAAGTCTGTCCTACCTAAGGTAGTATAGATCTCACATATATAATGTAAGCGGATGCTTAAATGTACTACTTAAATATATGAAAGATGTCACATCTCGATCCATCGGAACGGTAGAATGGGTAAACCACTGGTGATATTCCGTGTAAGATATTGCTAATCATTCGATGATCAAAGTTAAAACACTGATAAAGTTCTTTTAGGTCCAAGTACCATCAGTGGTGAATATTATCAAGTAGTACATGACCTACATTATAAGCGCTGATTGGACATTGTTCTACAAGTTACAACCCCAGGTCAATACATGTTCATTTTCAATGGGATTAAAGAACTTAATTTCGCATGATTTAGACTTAGGGATAATGTAACTAGGTACCTAAGGTTAAATTCTTTAAAAGTATACCTATACTGTAGTATAATTACGTGATCACTGGCTACACTGGTATTACTGGGCCTTGCCCATCAATACTAAACTTTACAAAATCAACATCATTCTACCCCCTTAATAATACCTACCTACCTACCATATATCCCTAGAGCCTCATAGAGACCCGGATCTACTACAGATTTGAACTAATAGAGCTCCTTATGTTTCTACGATTCTCACTTAACCGGACTAGGCTAAGGTGAAGCTATATAATGCTAAGAAAAAAAGAGGGACGGGCAAAAATAAGAGGAAAAAAAACGCAAAAAAGAACATACAACACCGGGGATTCGCTGGTCGTCACCGACCCAACTACTAATCCGGCGGTATCTGGCTTATCGATGGGGGAGCGGACGGGACCCCGAGTTTTCCAGATCCTATGGTCGTATGTGATTGAATGCTGGCTTATTGGCGTTTATATCTAAGGAAGGCCTCCTCCCAGAGATTCGGGGCCGCGTAATTAAAGTTGTACGCCCAACAGCTCAAGCTCACCCCCACGCGCTGCAGCCCCCGGTGGGCCGGATCTTGCTGCTGGACGGTTCGGAAGATATCGAACAGCCGCATACGATCTGCATCGCCTATGAACACGAGCAGGTCGGAAGCCGGAGAGAAATATAGGTACCGAGAGACAGACGTATTAGGCTCTGACTTGAAGACAGGTAAGAGAATCGTGAAGTGCTCGAGCGCCAGGGTGCGGGACTTGGAGCAGGCGGACATGACCGCCGGATTATCGCTATTCGACACCCATATCGGATGTGTCAAGTCGTTGTTAGCGTCCCTCTACGAATGTATCTCTACTACGCGAGGGCAAAAAGCCTCATTCCAGATCTTGAAGCGCAGCTCGACCGGTAACGAGGGGAAGTCGACCGGCGAAGATTGAGATTGCGACGCCACCAAATCCGAAGTCATATCTCCTTTAATGGGTTTAGCGGTCGGCTAAGAGAAAGCAAATACCACTACATACTATGCGAACTGGCCATACCGTTGGTGTAAATTATATGTCTTGTATCAAAAAGACGCCTTTCGGAAATATAGGGTTTTCTCCTCCAATGGTAATTCAGTTAGAAGCCCATAAGCCGGACTTCAAGCCGGAGGTATTGATCGAGTTTGAAACACGGCGCGCAAGAAGTATTAGGTACATATACGCTCACGCAAGCCTCTCGAAGAAGACAAACTCAGCCGTCGTACTACGCAAACACTGCTAAAGGTCGTACACAAATCAGCGGACATTAAAGGTAGTAACGCGGCTCAGCTTCACCGGCACAATTATTCGCACCAGCGGTGAGAGAAGAATAAGCCGATCAATGAAACCACGCGGAATTCGGCTGACAGGTCAATTTATAAATGGGCGGTTTTGAGTAAACAAATAAGCCAATCGCCTTCTCAGCCTGCTGGGAAGAAGTTGTCATGTCTATCAGTATCTGCATACAACTTTGATGCCCAAATTGAAAGTCAAGTTGAGATATGATATGATGAGTCCCTTGCGGGACATCCATGACGTCCATGGCACGTCTCACGTAGCGCAGCATATGCGCGTAGGCCAGTTCATCAGCCCCTTTTTAGAGTCTGGGCGATTAGGTAGTCGAGTAGGTATCACGAGAGTCGATAACAAGCAACGAAAAGCAGCCGTATACAAGTTCAAGTCTAACTTAAGATAAAGATTATAAATTATATGTATTTTACCGCTACATCATCACATTTCCCAGACTTTTCACAACTGACTCCTAACCCACCCAGCTTACGCCCAACTCATAATAATCCCCCAAAAACAAACAACAGCAATAAGACAGAAAACAGTGTCGTACCACTCGCCGAGGCCAATGTCGCAGATCCGGAATCCGTCTGATTACCCCTGCCAAGCCACTCCTTAAGATGCGCAAGCTTAATCTCCCGGATCTGCAATAGCCATAACACGCTCAAGTTAGCCATCCGCTCAGCAATTAAAAAAAATAATAAACAATCCAACACACACACCTGGTCCATCTGCGGCTTCGTCCCGCGCGGCTCCACCGCCTCCGACACCGCATCCTCAGCATGCGCCGTGCCATCCACAAGTATAACCCTCGAGTGATTATACAAATCCGTAACCGTCAGCGCCGGCGAGCCAATCGCAGCCGTGCCATCGTAGCGCCCCTGCACAATAAGCAGCCGCTCTGTCGAATCGAGAATGTCGTTCGTCATGGCGTATTTCTGCAGGAAGTACTCGTTCTCGCGCCGGTAGTCGACGCCCTGCCACGCCGGGTTCGTGCATATGTCCACCTCGCCCCGGGCGAAGGCCTCGGGCAGCATGTTGTCCGCGGGGATCGACCGGTCGTTGATCGGGTAGTACTTGCATGTGACGGCGCTCCAGGCCGGTTCGCTGCTCATTGTGTTGCCCTGGCTGGCTTTGGAGATGTTGCCGTTGAAGCTGTCGATGCAGGCGGATGTGTTGGTCGTCCATGAGGCTGCTAGGAGCGGGAGGCGGAGGATTTCGCCTGCGGTCTTGGCTTCGAGGGTGTTCTTGATTAATTCCGAGAACGGGTTTGCCGTTGGGTATTTTTCGATCCATGGGTAGTTGAACTTGGAGATGGCTAGGTAAGTATGGAGCACCGCCTTGTACAGTCCCTCGTAGCCTAGCGACGTGGAGTTCTTGCATATGTTGAGATCAGGGATAGTCGCCTCGCAGGTATCGTCTTCCTCTTGTCAGTCTATAAAGCAAGCACGGCTCATACGCAAGAGTCTCACCTGCAAGACACTTCTTAAACGTTAACATGGACGTTTTTATTTTGGAGGATGCGTCTTTCGAAGCGTTGTTATAAACTTGGCTCGCCCACTTCGCAGAATCGAACTTGGCCTGATTCGAGCTGAGGGGGCCAAACGAATTCAAGGCGGGCGAGGAGGCAATCGCACCGTAAAACGTATCTGGATAGCGAATCCGTGCCGATACAGCAAGGAATCCACCGTACGAAGCTACAAGAATACTATTAGCCCATGACCACTCCTCGACATCGTGAGTAAACCCTATACTTACAACCGCCATAGATCACTTTACTATTCGCAGCACCCAAGACCGTCTTTTTTATCCAATTGACAAAATTAACTCCATCTTGAAGGACGTTATCCAAAGTCAGCGAGTCAAACGTCTCGTTCGAGACGTTCAATGGGTTGTAATGAAGCGGGTAGCTGCCGTGGCGGAAATCGCCAAAGAAGCGGTGTTCGAGCATCGCAACGAGGGCACCGAGCTTCGGTGCGTAGTCTATAAAGTCGCTCGAGTTAATAGACGACATCCCGGACTCGGCGCTCTGTACGAAAAGGATCGGTCCGCCGGGCTCGAAGTGTTGCGTTATGAGCTGATACCGCTGTCTGAATGTTGTGGAGCTCGCGTCAATTGTGTGGTTGACCTTCTGGATGAAGTCCTGAGTGGCTATGCCGCTCGTGTCTGATTGCACTCGTGCTGGCGGATGGCGTGCCACGGCCATGGCCGCCAGAAGAGCGAGGATCTTGAATCCCATCATCTGCACTTTGAATAATGACACTCACTACCTAGTCCTAGGTTCAGTGGATGACTGAGACAAGCCGCCTCTTGAGTTGTAGTGATAGCGCACGTCTAGTTTTGGCGCGAGCCTGGCGTTTATTCCATATGAGGTAGGTCGATGTTGTTCGCTCCCTTCTATTACTATTGGTGGAAGTACTAGAGTACTAGATATCAGGTAGGATAGTTAGCGAGCCGTAATCGTTCCATCGATGATGTGTGAGACAACTTCGGTGGCGAGCATACTAGACGATTTGACAGCTGCAGCATCCCGAGTCCAACCACAGTCTTCACCTAGGTACTCTACTACGTAATCCTACGGGCATGTAGCAAGCTCGGACGACAAGTTGTCAAAACTTCAGACGACAGATCGAATAAGGTTGGAGGCGCATAGTGCCGAGTAATACGACATGATGCCAGAAGACTAAATTGGCATATAAAATGTCCGCTTAACCGTCCCCTTAATATAAACCTTACAATTATGAATTGCACGGGATGGAATATCTCTAGTCCTCCGTTAATGGAGCCCGGCTAGCCCTCTTATATATTTTTACTGTACCCTATTATCTCCAAGCCGTGCTTTATCATGTATAAGCCAACGTCTCCAGGTTCAGTCAACGGTGGTCACATCGATAGAAAAAACCCTCAAGGGCTCAAAGTGGGTAGCGTAGCTCGTATTAGTATGTATTCTTAAACCGCCTCTTCATGCGGGCCAGTCGATCTCCTACCCATTTGATCGCGAAAGACAAGAAAACATGGAAACTCAAACGAGGTATGCTAGGTATGTCATGTGAGCTAAAAGCTGATGATGCATTTCGGAAGTTTCCTTTGCAGTGCTTATCATCCTAACTCCGAATATGACAGGCCGAATCCCCGGGAAAGCATATGTACCTATGTATTGTACAGTAGGCTCGTATTACGAAGCTACATAGACAAGCTCGTAACCCAACTTAACATCGAATGTTAAGACGTGCCTTACATTACAAGTTGATACTTGACAGATCACTATTCGTTAAGATTCGCTGATCTCTCTGCTTTTTTATTTATTTTTATTAATCAGACCCTTGCATTGTTTATCTATCCTACATAGTACAGTTGTAAAGCCCCTCTCCGGCCCATTTTCTGCATCGTACATATGTAGAGTGTGGGCTGTCCAAGCTCCACATGTGGATGCATGTAGGATCCGATGTCGACGGAGTAAAGACCAACGCACCAACTCTCTTATATGACATGGTGGCGGCGGTTATTACATCAACCTACTTGAGCCTCCGGAAAATTACACGCATGGCGGAATTTATATGAAACGAGAAGCCTTGCGTCTATATTGTTAATGAAGATGGGTAACACAAAGAGACTTATGATTTTCGAGCCGTAAGATGAACTCCAGAGCGAGTGATAGAAATCCTATAATACAAATTCATTGCTTGGAATCTGTGCAGTGGTTTACAGAGCTTCTGGAATAGCCCATTTGCTTATCGTGACGAGCATGTAATAGAAACGGTTGCATATCCCACCAAAGACCCCAATATCCCATATGTTCTCTTGGTGGATAATGCTAAAACCCGAAAAAACTACCGGATTGACAATACCCCCAGATCCAAAGTAGGCGGCAGTGAGATCATTCAGGCATCTAAGCCATCTAGTTCTATGAGCTTAGCCACCATTCTAATCACCTCGTTGTCGCGAACGTCCACGTGCGGATCGTTAACCTTCAACGCGATGATGTTGTCTACCATGCCCCTGAGCCTAGAGACCAAGACGCCAATCCTAGCCCAACCACGAAGCCTATAGTAAAGACGCAGTCAGTATAGATCCTCAAGAATGGTGATTTTAAAGGGGGGGATTTACCTTAACCATCCATCAACCACCAGGCCCCTGCCAAGAGTGTCGAGCTCAATGGCGCCAGAGAACAAGAGTAACGTGAAGGAATTGAACGCTGTAAATAGTCAGCAAATCATGTAAAGATAGTAAGATACATAGAAGACTCACGAGTTAACTCTCGAATGAATATCTTGCTCGTAGACATCATGTTAAAGTAGGACAGGAACGCAGCGTTGCCCGAAAACCCTTGACTGTCATGCAGTGTGCTCGCAGGGTGGATGAACACGCGGCCGTTCTCCTGTGTATAGTATTTGATTGTCCTGGCCTCTGGGTCGATTTCTACCGCACCCGACATTGACGTAGCGAACTTCTTGTCTGGGAACTGTATCCGTGCTATCTGCGGCGTGAACGCAGAGGCCGTGAGCGCACGTACGAGAGCCTGTGATGCTTGGTTGCCTGCGAGGCGAGTTTCGCGTATGCCTAACTCGGAAAGTGCGGAATAATATTGTGTTCTGGTTGCTGAGATGTCATTGAGGGTCTGGTATGAAAGGAAGTTCTCGTCGCAGAATTGTCGTAATTGTCGCTGCTGTGTACCCCCTTCCATCATGGCGTTCCACTCCTGGAAAGCTCTCAAATCCGTGAGGAGGTCGCCATCGCCCCTGGAAAATTTCATGCGAGCAGCTTTGGCATCATCCCGTTTCTCTGGAGGAGATACGAACGGACTCTTGGTGCTTAGGATGGAAGCGATGGAGACGCTCTCGTCAAGACAACCAAAAATAGCGCCGTAGATCATAAGCTTCCCGCAACGCAGATCGGCGGGGATCATGGCCAGTTGCTGTCCGAGAGCGGTCAGCTCCTCGCCATCAAGTGCACCCATTCGTTGCAGCATCTTGACAGCGTTCTCGACGGCAGAAATAGCCGGCGGCGTTGGTGTCCTCCCCAGGAATCCACCGACGTCTTTAGTTCCCATAGCTCGCACTGACAAACAAAGCTGCTCAAGAGGTACGCGCCGAATCTCCGGCTCTGGGCGTTCCGCCATCCGCTGTTCAAGATTCTTCGTGTACAGTTTATAGCATTTACCAGCCTGTACTCGACCGGCACGTCCTCGGCGTTGCTTGCAAGCGGCGCGGGAAGCCCACGTCTCCTCGAGCTTGCGCATGTTATTCTGAGGATCGAAGCTCGTCTCCTTCACCTTTCCTGTATCGATAACGGCAACAATATCGTCGATAGTGATAGACGTCTCTGCTACATTCGTAGCAACTACAACCTTTCGCTTTCCAGAAGGAGCGCTTGTGAATACCCTTCGTTGCTCGCGCGTATCAAGGGAGGCATGAAGAGGTAGAACATGGAGGGATGAGACATTCCTAAGTTGGTTGACCGTCCGGTTGATCTCCGCAACACCCGGTAGGAATATAAGAATACCACCCTTCTTGTTGCTGTGATATAGATCTGCATCGATAACCTTTGCCGTCTCGACGAGCAAGGAATAGTTGATCCGAGAACCCAACCTCTGGATAGTCTTGTTAATCGGATCTTGTGGTCCCTTATCGCCACCGCCTTGCTCTGTAGAGTCGAACATCCCCTCATCCCGATCACGATACCTATTATTGTCCACGGTAAAGTCCGTCATGCGAATTATATCGTCAAGATAGTAATCCTCAACGGGGTACGTTCTACCAGCAATCTCGACCAAGCCAACCTGTAGTCCTTCGGAACTAAAGTAGCTTTGAAAAGTTGCCGCGTCGAGCGTGGCGCTCATAAGAACAAGCTTAAGGTCTCTCCTCTGTTTCAAGACGTCGCGAACAATGCTGAGGAGGAAATCCGTATCCAAACTCCGCTCGTGAACCTCGTCAATAACAACATGACTTACATCAGCTAACGATGCAGCAACATCCTCGGTCCGCCCGCCAGAAGTTTGTAGACGTCTCAGAAGCACACCAGTGGTAACAAAAGTTATTTTTGTCTGAGAGCTGGTTTTATTCTCTCCGCGGATGGTGTAACCCACTTCTTGACCAAGCTTAGAGCAGCGCTCGTCGCTGACTCTGTCTGCAAGGCCGAGAGCAGAGATCCTGCGCGGTTGCGTACATATAATACTAGCAGCGTGTCCAAGTCCTTTACTATACAAATCGTCTAGAATGAATTGGACCGACTGCGTAGACTTACCAGAACCCGTTTCGCCAGCAATGATGGTGACTTGCTTCTGTGAGACTGTATTGATAACTAAGTCTCTTGCTTGCCAAGCGGGTAACTTTTGTCGTTGAGCTAACATTTCTTTGAGCGCAGGGCTGTTTTGCCTTTTTTGCCACTCTTCCTTGCTGCGCGTATTTACAGTCCATGACAACGGTTTCGGATGCCTTGAAGATCTCTGCTTTACTGGAATAACATGGCGTGTCTCTGCTGCGGTAGACGCAACACCTGATATGTCTCTCAGTTTTCCCGGATTCTCGATAATAGCGTTGATATTTTGTTGAACCCAATCAACAGCAAAGTAAATCTTCATTGGTTCTTCGCTGAGAGACTCGTTGAGATAGGCAAGAGTCTTCTTGACTATGCTGAGTTTAATATAAGAGGGCAGATCTGCCACCACGGCCACAACAACTTCAGATGGATACCGCGGCGTTCTGCGGAATTGTACGTAAGTCTCGACGTCCTTCTTGGGGCCATTCCTGACCGAATCAATCCGAATTTGGCAAACGTCGTCAGACAAGCGCTTGAAATGCTCGCCGAAGACAGATGAGAGACTTTCCATTTCATCGTCCCAACATTCCTCCGGGGTGCCTGATATGAATGGCTCTTCGACATCATTTGCCAATGCCGAGTCGTTACCACTAGAGAGTAGAAAGTGCTGCAATGCTTCGGCGGTGACGCCTTCGTTTCCGTTATTTTCATCATATAGCTTTCGACACAGCTCAGCAGAGTAGCCTGACTGAGACAGCCGCTTTACTGCTGCCTCACGCTTCAAGTCTTGCGTCGCAGCCACTGAAATACCTGCGCTATAGCTCCCCGGCAAAGCCCATCTAGGAAGATCATCCTCGGGTACGTGTATCAGTAGCCACTCTAGAGTCTCCTCGCGGTCTTTGCATTCTTCGACGGCTTCTTCTACGTGGCTCTTCCGGAAGCCAGAGTTGGTAAGTTCCTTGATGATGGCCTCTTTTAGGGAAGTTGACATATTAACACCATGCGGATTCCATATTACTTCCCGTCGAAGCAGGTCTTCTAATTTGGATCGTGTTTTCCGGCCCATTTCGATCTTCGGAACTATCGTCCATCCTTTCATGGGATTGGTACCTCCTCCAGAAGAGGATGCGGCATTGCTTCGGAGGACTAAACCAGACGCACCGGGCATATTCTTCGCCTTTTCCCTGATTGCATCCTGCTCCTTTCGTTTCTTTTCCGCAGCAGCTTTCTCGTCCTCTCGCTGCTTCAGACTAGCGAAAGGATCCGCATCATACATCCATGCGTTGCCCTTTTTCACATCTTCCTTCTTTAGTTCTTCGAATTTCTTCCATAGCGCTTTATAATCTGGGGGTAGGGTGGTATGTATATTTTTCATACTACAAACCCTGAATAGAGCATAGGTAGCGGCCGCATGTTTGGCTTCTAAAGGAGTCTCCCTGGTCACTAGGTTCTTATAGTCTGGGGGTAGCTTGAAAGGAGGCAGCTTCTGCATCTCCTGAGTCTTGGAGTTCTTGGCACTAAGCTGGACGAAATATGAGATGCCCTCCGAACTTTTGATCTAACTCGAATTCATTAACTAGGTACACGAGGCAGTTGAGCAAAACAAGCCGCTTACAAGTTGGTAGTCGGGCTTGTCCCACTTCTGCCTTTGACAATGCTCCGAGAGCAAGTTCACGGGTAATTTACCGGTCCAACTAGCTCCTCCGATAATCTGCTTCACCGTCGGCTTGGGGGGCCCTGAAGCCTCTGCTGCTGCCGACTCGCCCGCCTCGGTCTTCTTTCCTCCCACATTCGAAGAGCCTCCGCCTCCACCACCTTTCTTATTAGACTTAGAGTCATTGGTAGAGTTTGTGAATACTATAAAATCGTCGTTTGGCTGCGATGTAGCAGCATTTTTACCCGATTTAGACGATGACTTCTTTGATGATGATGATGATGCGTTAGCGGCCACAGCAGCTCCCGAAGGTGCTGCTGTGGCCTTTTCCTTGCCTTTCTTTCCCATGCTGATAAGCCATTTGGCATTCTAGATGTGTAATCTTAAAATGCTTTCATGGTCATCTATGGGATGAGAAATAAGTGTAAATCGTCCAAAGCTGACGGTCTGAGATAAAATTTCCAGTTTGTACCGGAGTATATCCGGCTAGGACTTGGATTAACCTCAGGTGGATACTTAAGTGTCTAGGTACTCGTATACAGTTAAAGGGGCATATGTTAGGTACTGTGTGTTAAACAACAATCTCTCAATATTGTTGGAAATAATCATTAAATTCCTCCTAGAATTGGAAAGTTTCGTATACCCCGCACGGTGTGAATTGGAGTTGTTGTCTTTGATTACCCCACTTAGTACAATGGCGGGGTAGATATGTACCTAGAAGATCCTTACTTGGGTACATCCATATATGTAACTATACGAAATACATCTTTTGTCTCTTACATCAACAACCAACAAACATCAATGATTCCATTTATATAATCCATCAGGCAAATAGTTTTAATCGGGCTATACCTATCCTATATACTCTCAACTACCTTTTACTAAGAGCATATCTATCTCCGTGAGTATAGCAATACGAAATGTGAAGACTACCTATAACTTCGAGTCCACCGGGTCTATTTTATCGCCGAATCATCTACAAGCCAACTTACCTGCCCAAGCACCACCACCACCTAAATGTAGACCTCGAAGATAGACCCTCAACCTCCCAACAACAACATTTCTTTACAACCCTTTCCCTCAGAGCCAGTCGAAAGAACAGTAGCAACATGGCATCAGCCGATTCGGACCCTGAAGATGCCATCACCAAGGAAGAAATCGCAGGGACAGCACCTACCTCGGCGCACGCAGCGGGTTCCGGTATAAGTCAAGGCACGAAGCGCAATGCCTGTAAGTAACCGAGACACCTCTTTCCTAGCCTTATAGATATACCGAGACTAATAAGACATACAAGTCACAGAACTCATGTCGCCAAAGACCAAGACAGCAAAAGAAGAACACAAACACCCCCCAACAAAATCCTTCAACAGGCGCGACGGCCTCGGCGCCTATACCCACAACCCGGCCGCCTTTCCCGCGAGCCGAGTCATATACTACAACGACGACTTCGTCGCCATCAACGACTTGTATCCCAAATCCACCGTCCACACGCTGCTCCTCCCGCGCTCGCCCCGCAGCCGTATGCATCCCATCGACGCCTTCGAAGACGCCTCCTTCCTAGCTTCCGTACAAGCCGAAACGCAGAAACTAAAACGCTTAGTAGCGAAAGAACTGCAACGACGGTACGGACGATTCAGCGCCTTAGACCGCGAGCGCGAGGCCGTGCTCAACGGGCAGAAGGAGTGGGATGGGGACGAATTACCCAAGGGCCGAGACTGGGAGAGCGAGCTACTAGTCGGCATTCACGCGCATCCATCTATGAATGACTTACATGTGCACGTCCTGGCGCCAGATATGATGTCGGAGTGTATGCGCCACCGCAAGCACTACAATAGTTTTAATACGCCCTTCCTGATCGATGTTGCCGACTTTCCGTTGGCGAAAAATGACCATAGGAGACACCCCGACAAAGCCGGGTTTCTAAATACCGACCTGAAGTGCTGGCGCTGCGGGAAGAACTTTGGAGCCAGTTTTAAAAAGCTCAAGGAACATCTTACGGAGGAGTTCGAGGAGTGGAAGAGAATCTGAACAAAGGCCTTGCTCGGTTTGCAGAATAATTCAGAAATGCCAAAGGGATCCTAAAGTAATGCTAGAAGAGATCATAGGAGATAGGGCTTGTGAGCTCGTTGCTTACGCCCATTAATACCATGTACGTTACGGCATCGATGCGAGTGCGAGTGCGAGTGCGCAGAGCAAATAATATACTTTACTACCTACTATATCATAGGTATGCGCACAGGTCGGCGGAAGATTGCAATGCATAGCGTTAGGTAAATAACTTTTCGTATGCTCCTAGTTTTTCCCTCCGGAAAACATGGGGACATATAATAAATAAGCTGTGAGGGAGCACCAGTAGTAGTCGTAGTCGCAATAAACCACGAAGCCATTACTGCTTCAGAAGTATGTGTACAAGCCAGCTCCTCCCTATCAACGCCATTATTCTCAGCCAATCGTAAAAGAAAACCCCCATCTCCCCCATGACCAAGTGTTCGCATGCAACCGAGTAGTGCTCACACCACAGAAGACCGAAATGACTATGCTTCGCATAATAGAAGCATCGGGTCCTCAGTTCTCAGGAGCAGCAGGAGCACTCCTTACGTTACTGATACGTCTGAGGACATTGGATAGAAAAGCACCCACGTATAATGCGCGGACTTCGGTGCCCTAATCCTCCTATATGACCCGAATTAGTAAGATATTGGTATTCAAAAGCGGGAGCTGTGCATAAAGGGGAAGCGCGAAAAGGGTGATCCTACCTCTTCAGGAGCAGCATCGTCATCGTCGGCCGCGTCGTCATCTTCGGCATCGTCGTCCATCGCGATATCATCACCTGCTTCATCTGTAATCACGCGAGTGGAAATATTAGCGTTTATTCGCAGATCTCTAACCATCTATTACATCCTAGCCTGGTTTCACGCGATAACGTACCTTCATCATCCTCGCCTTTTCCTTCAACATCATCTTCCTCATCGTCCTCGGGCTCGTTGACAGGCGAAGCCTCACTCTTGCGTGGTCGACCGCGTCCTTTTCCTGTGCTAGAGGGCTTGGCTGCGGCAGACTTGGGAGTCGTAGCTTTCTTTGGGGTAGTGGCGCCTGCATCGCTCTTGCGAGGGCGTCCACGACGACCAGGACCACTGCTGGCGGCAGGCTTAGATGGAGCAGGCTTGGCGGCCTTCTTGATTCCGGGAGGACGGCCACGAGGGCGACCCGAGGGAGCCTTCTTTACTTGAGGCGCGATGCCATTTTTGGGGGGACGGCCGCGGCCGCGCTTCACTGGGGCTCCATCATCAGCTACCGGTTCAGCTGCTGTGCCATTCTCCTTGGCGGCTGCGCGCGAAGGTCTCGTAGGCGCCATCGCGATAATGTGATACGGTGTACGGTGTAGGTAAAAAAGGGCGTGCCGGGGAAAGAAAAAGAAGTGCACGTCTTTTTCACACAAAAAAAGTTATTTTTTTCAATTTAGGTCTTTCCTCTAAGATAAATTCTAGAGAATTAGAAGAATAAATCCCGGGTGTGCGCAAAGTCGATGGAATATGTTGAGTTAAATAGAGAGGATGGAAAAAAAAAGATTTAAAAAAAAAAAGGATGAATTAATGACTGTAGTCGGGGAATGGACGCGTGCAAAATTATTAGACCTGGGCAGCTCCTGCGCGTCTGGTGTTTATCAAGTACATATGTACCTGGGCGGCCGGGGTAGGTACAGGTTAGCTGGGTACCTTAGCTCGGCTAGCGTGGATGTAAATGGACGCAAATCTCGTAGGAATTGACGGGGAAGTTCCCCTAGAGGACCGGCCAGCAGGTACAGCCTGAGTACATCTGCACCTCACATGGATTGAGAAGTTGCGAAATTAATTTATTTTTCTTATTTTCCAATAGCTGCTCTCGTTTTACTCTTGAATAAATACGCGCGATTGTTCAATCATGAAATTTCTTCAATTTTTAATTTAATTAAATTTTATCTCATTTCATTTTGCATCTGCTTCAAAATAATACAAAGGGTATCGTACCTATCTATCCTCGAGAAAGTGTAGTCGTAGTTATTCCATTTTCCCTTAAGTACTGATTCACCCCTATATTATAACAATGCTTTGCTCAGAACCCCATGACAAAATCGAAACATTTTCAGTCACTTACTTTGCTTAGCTTCATTAAGAACATTCAATTTCAAGAAGCCATAATGACTGGTAATGACAAGTGCAAGTATAATGGCAAACACCCAAATATGGTAGGGCAAATAAAGCCTGACTGATATTCCCTAATTTGTGTGTGCGATGTTGCGCGAAATCAACCCCTGAGACGGTCGTTAAGATGATAAATCAATTATATCTTATACGGTGACTAGAGATACGTACTTACTCTCAATGAATGTCAATAGCATCCTGTCAAACGTCTGTCTTTGGCCAGTAAGCGCAGCCATATCAATATGATCAAATACCTAGGCGTCTACCAAGATCAGAGGCCCCGGGTTTATCATTCCCAGTGTAGACTCACTTCTAAATATACAATAACTAGTTAGAAACATCACTTATGAATGTATGTAAGATTTTAAAGCCAAGGCATCATCAACCAGAGTCTATACTTGCCTCAGCTATGAATCACGCGACTTATAAGTCCGCTTGGATTAACAGCAACAACCATGTGAAACGGGTCTTACTCGTTTCATCAAGTTAAGCTTCTTCATCCCCGCTACAGAACAGCACATGTTAACAGATGATGTCCCAACGGAGGAATCGCTCCGGGTGTGTCGTACAATTATGACTGGCCTGAAAAATAGCCTTATATGAGTCTCTCAGGAACATCATTAGTACCTGCTTCAGAATAGAGCATTGTGAGGTATCCAAACTACAGTAAACGCGGCTGTCCCTTAAACTCTTGGTACAGCCAATTACTATAGACCAAGGTATGGCCTTTTTCATATCGACTAAGCTTCAAGATAGGTCAGACGTCACCCCAACGGCAGTCTCCGGTTGGAGATAAGTATCTACTCTAGCGGATAAGCTATCTCCGCAGAGCGATAGCTCGACCAGTATAATCACCCGGTATCTGTTCTCCACTCCCGGACCGCCCCGTCGTCCCCGGGGTAAAATATGCTTGTTTTTTAGATCTATGTATACCTATCGTAGCGTAAAGAGAAAAGAACGTGCTATCATACAACACAATTTAAGATCAACTACATGCTTACCAGAGAAAAGATTGGAGGGGTTCCGAAAGGGTCCTTGGTATTAATCAAGCTTATCTAGATTCAACTGGCTCCAACAATGTCGCACCTACCCCGGGCCGGCCCGAAACCCATATTCTCGGTATAAGTCGAAGTGTATATAAAAAGGGTTCGGAGTAACTAACTTGCCTCGGTACACACTTACACCTCAGCTTCGTACTTATCGACCTACCTTCCACTTATCACTTACCTATTTACCTTCATACTCACATACTTACCTACCTCCCTTATCCCATCTTCCAAAAGTAGAATCACCATCATGGCAGATACCACCACCACTAAATACACCAACCGCGATATCCCCCGCATCTCCCTCCGGGACTTCGACGCCCGCATCGACAACATCACAGCATCCCTAATCTCCGCCGCCGAAAGCAACGGGTTCTTCACGCTCACCGACCACGGGATCCCCGAGTCCGCCATAGAAGCCCAATTCGCCCTCTCCGAATCCTTCTTCTCGCTCCCAGACGCCACCAAATCCACCGTGCCCTTCTCCCCCCTCACGAACACCGGCTGGGAGCGCGCCGCCCAAGTCCGGCCGAGCACCGGCCTTCCCGACCAGAAGGAGAGCTTCCAGATGCAGCACGGCATGACATCGACTTCCTGGCCGTCCGAATCCGCGCTCCCCGGGTTCCGCGCCCAGAGCCTGGAGTTCATGCGCAAGGCCCAGGAGGTAAGTGAGAAGTTGATGGTGTGTTTTGCGCGGGGGCTCGGGTTCGCGGACGAGTACTTTGTGCGCGCGCACGATGTGAGACGGTCGGGCGCACAGACGGTGTTGAGATTGCTCAAGTACTTTGCGCTGGACCCCGCGGCGCCGACACCAGAAGGGTATCACCGCGCGGGCGCGCATGCGGATTGGGATTTTGTGACGTTGCTGTTCCAGCGGCCTGGGCAGGGGGGATTGGAGATATGTCCGGGGCGCGAGGCGTTCACTGAGTTTGGCCTGGGGGACACGTGGACGCCGGTTAAGCCTGTGGCGGGCGAGATCGTGTGTAATATGTGAGTATTTCTGCATGGTTTCTTTCTTCTATTTATCCCTTGATAGATTTGTTGGATGTGAGGGATAAAAGGGGCATAAATGAAATCTCCAATCAGACGACTAACATAGAAAAGCGGTGACCTCCTAATGAGTTGGAGCGACGACCGCTTCAAATCGACGTTCCACCGCGTCAAGACGCCGACAGACCCAAAAGTCGATTACTACGGCACGCGGTACAGCATGGCATATTTCAACCAGCCGAATATAGACTGTGAGATCCAAGGCCCGCTGAAGAAGTACCCGATAGTGACGGGATCTGAGTTCACCAGGGCCGCTATGAAGCGTAACTACGAAGCTCTACAGGCGACTAAGGCGGCAATGGTAGATAGTACTGCATGAGGAGTTGGATTTTCGCCCTATTGTCCGTGATTAATAAATAGCAACAGCATTCAAAGGTTTTATATTATATATTATCGAAACAAAGAAAATATATGTTTTAATAATAATAACGAAAATTACGGGTTGATAATCACAACTCCAGTTTTTAAACAAATATACAAGCACATTACAACACCCTCGCGGTAAATAAGTTCGGTCTCAGCAAAGCGCTGCCTATATTAGATATCTGTTCATAAAGGACGTTGGGGATACCATAGTGCATCATGACACACGACGTCAAAGAGGCAGCTCGAACTTTGCTAATAACCTAACACAACGATATTCTATAGGACCAAAGTCTCATACTCATACTACCTATAGGTCGCCTCGGGATACATCATCTTCGCCAGCAGACTTGGGCAGTAATCGTGACCTAGACCGGCGACGTCTTCCCTGAATGATTAAAAGGTATTCATGCCCATCCAGTAATTCCCCAAGTGGCCAGTCCCATAACCCTCGGACTTCGTTTAATACTTCGAGTGGCTCACCATGGTCTACGAAGAATTTAGTGTCCACACCTGAAACCAGCCCAGTAGAATCTTCGTTATCGAAGAGAGAGCCGCGTAGAGCTGAATCCCGAATGTAGGATATCGGCGATGCTTCCATGATCGAAGAAGCGTTCTCGGCAATAAATTCGAGCGAGACTCTTTAGATTGTGGCTACCAGCCATCAGCTTCGAACCATAGCTTCAAGGAACGAACTTACTTCCGAAAGCCGTAGCAGCCGCCAGGCACGCAGCCGGGTGGGAGCTTGCGATACCGTAAACGTCGTCTGTACCCTCCCTAATAGCTCTCAAAAGGCCAGTTGCAAGCCCGCGCTCACGGTATTCCTCTACCACAACTAGTTGAGTAATCCAACAGACAGTCATGTCATTGTAGCTCCAGCGGCAAGCAAATACATTGCCAGCAAGGGTTCCATCGACGGTCACCCGAACGTAGCAAGTTTTAGCAGCATCGGGAAGACATTGCCCTCGCAAGCGCCGGGCATTAAGGCAGACACGGTTACCTGAGAAGACATGAGAAGCTGCAAAGCTACAGAACAGCACAACGTACCTGATAATGGTGATCCCTTTCCCCAGACCGCGTAATTCTCGTTGAAAAGCTCCGCAGCTTCTGAGAGCATATGGTCGGTAACTTCGGCGCTAGAAAAAACCTCGTACAGTTGCTTTATCATCTTGACGCGGTTTCTTCGCTTACTTGCCCAAGAGCTCTCAATGATAGCGACTTCAGGCTGCTCTAAGAATCTAACATGCGAGTGATTATACGGTGAAGGTCTTTGGGCTGGGGACTGTTGCTCCTTAAATGGTGGCGCCCCGTCAGACCCATGGCTACATTGTTTATTCATGGTAATATTGATGGAAAAGCCGATAATCGTGGGAGGCAGAGTATGAACAAGCCTGATTACTTAGATGTATATATCGATAACATGAATTAGCTTGATTTAAACAAACCTCTGAACAGACCCTTAAACTCTATTATAAAAATTAAGTTCAAAAGAAACAAGAAAAAGGATTAAAAACAAGTCACGATAGTATCACACTTACTGTTCCCGGGAACTTCGGATTTATCAAGTTAGCTACGAAACCTAAACACTTATAGCGAAGCCACTCGTCACATTAACTATCGATCGCGATCACGAAATCACTGCCAAAAACAAAGGATGTATAGCAACAGTAAACAAATCAATGCGGGGAGACTTCGCAGTCTGAAGCACTATCTAGCAAGCCCTGTCCATGTCCATGAATGGGGGCTCAGATGGTTGCTCTTTTTTCCCAAGCAAGCAAAAATTATATACTCAAACAAGAGCCTAGAGTATGCCTCTCCTACCCTCTCCGGGGTCATGCGTGCTCCCTAAATTATGACTAATAGAATAGTCCCGTTGGCAATGCCAATGAAGAATCAATGAATAAAAGTTTTTATCGACGCCTGCCTCCCTGCCTGTGCTTGCTTGCTTGTTTGCCATGCCGCCATGCCGCCTTGTCCTGCCCTCCCAGGACCGTACGCCTGAACTCATGCCGAAAAACTGCCTGCGATGCCAAATCCTCGCCGATTAGGCCGAGAGTTGCGTAAAAACCACTGCGGAAAAGCAAAGTGTATCGAACAGAAAGAAAACGTTGCGAATCAGAATGTGTCGTTAGGTTCATAGGCCACGTATGACGTCGTAAATGACGGCACATCGATGCCGGCTTATTAGTTGATCAGGTATTAACCCGTGTCGGTTACATCGGTAATGACAGCGGGATCTCTATGTAAACTTGCGAAACCTTGAGTTGTTCCGCCGCGTTGATTATTGCTCTATGAAACACACCGATACCATCCATGGTCGTCTGGTATTGTCGAGTGAGAAGACCTCCGCCGATGGATTGACTCAACCTAACATAGGGAGTGGCATCGACATAGTATACGATCCTGGATGTACCTCATTGGTGGGGACATCCAACGTGTGGTGATAGCCACGTTGGAAGGGAAGTCTAAAACCGTTCTGGATCTGTTCTTCGACGAACGGAGATGCGCGCTTGAAAAGCCGAGTCGAATATTTCTCGAAGACTGCTCGATGGTGTTTACGACCAATTCGGCAGCAGTCGAAGAGCATTCCGATCAGCGGCTTCAACTGGGCATAAGTATAACCGGAATAGTGAACATGCTCGGGTGTCTAAGAGGCAAGTTAGATAAGTGAATACCGAGGTCAAGAAGGTATGAACTTACCCAGTCGCCTTTACCCAAGATCATACGTGAAAGGCAGTGGGCTCCAGCGGCCACGTAGCTGGGAGGACTTGAAACGAAGCGCTCGTCCATAACGGTAACCTCGAGGAAGTACTTGGCGACGGTTCGAATCTCACTGTCGTAGTCGTCCGCCTTGCTGATACGTCGCAAAAAGCTCATCGGACCAGGCCAGCCCAGTGCGAAGTTGAGCATGCTGAGCATGAAACGCTCTGCCTTGAGGACCTCCTCTTGGTTATAGCCGCCGTCGACCATATAGACGATTTCTTGCACCGAGGGGCAATTAATTTCTTCATACTTTGCAGCGAGCAGAAGAGCGGTAGCACCGACTAGTTGGAGTTTTCCTATGGAGACAATTTTAACCGAGAGGAATCGATCGATGTAGTTGACGGCTAAGAATAGCGTCTCTGGGAGAAGTCCGAAACGGGTGTGGACTTGAATGACCCAGTCCATTAGGACAGCTCGCATGGACCACTTGATCTCAGTCTGGATATCCATGTAATGAGGCTTGGGCAACAGATCGATCTATGCATGAACAAAATTAGTAAGGTTATGTGTCACCTCGTTTATGCAGGCTTGCTTGCTTACCTCCATTTCCTTCATGTAATTAAAAATGTCCTCTCCATACTCAGTCACCATGCTGATATCCCATTCCTCATCGTCGTGGACATCGCTGCTAACCTTTCTCTCCACAATCTCTTTTGCGGCCACAATCTCTGCAGCGCCTTTCTTGGTGAGCTTGGGAGGAACCATGATAGTAGTGACACCACCCGTCGTGTTGTCTCGGCCAGAATGGGCTGTAGTATAGCCCTGATCGTCATAGTAATCCTCCTCATCGTCGTCGGACACATCGGCCGCGTTGTGAGGCGGAGGGAATGCGCCGGATGCGAATCGTTCGTCGTAGTGAGGGTACATGCCTTGACCGGCAGCAGCGGGTAGATCGTCCTCGTCCGTGTCGAGAGCGGGAGACACCCAGCCAGTCTGGTTGTTCAAGTAATCAACTGCCGCTCTCCAGGCCGCTTCCTTCTCTGGCTTCGCTACGGAATACATGTTACTCGGAAGCTCTTCGACGGCGTCGAGGTAGACGGCCTCCGTAACCTCTTCCTCTGATCGACGGGCAACAGAAAGATTGCTATTGTGGACGTCTTTCTTAGGATTCTCCAGGTGAGATCCTTGCTGGCGACCTTCCGGTAACACTTTCCCTGACGCTACAGGGACCCAATCTTTGGCCTCGACTTGCGGCTGAGTACTATACTTGATAGTAATGGCGGCTCGATTCACTTTCTCTAGGGTAGGTTGTTCCTTCTCAGGTTGGGTGTCACTGAAGACCTTGAACGGCTGGCCTCTTTTCTTGATAGGCTGCTGCTGCAGCTGCAGCTTCGAGATGGCTGCTGGCTCATTAGCTGCAGATTGGAGCTGATTCATCGAAGCAGAGGGAACAAGAGACTTGGGAAGTCGTTGCGCTGGTCGTAGGAAGGCGTCCTTAGAAGCATTGTGGTTTCGGTTCTCTTGGTCTGTAGTAACAGGTCCGGGAAAGACGCTAGGGTGCTTGATGACTGGCATGTACGAGTTAGTTGGTGCGGGTTTCGCCCGAGCGTCTAAGTCACTTTGGACATTGGGCTTGACCGCGAGCTTAGAAAAGCCAGCTGCGGTAGACATGGTGTTCACAAGGTTGCTGGTAGACTTGTGGCGTTGGTGAATGGTCTTGTTAGCCATTGGAGGGAGGTTCTCGTCGTTTCGGCTGCTTAGAGCATAGGCGAAACGGGAAGGCTGTCAAGGTTGAATTGAAAGGTTAGCATTGGTTGAGAAAAGCGCAATGACCGCAGCATACAATGGCTATGACACGAAAGGTTGCTATGAACAAGGTGAAAGGTAGGGATTGAGTATGTAGGTTCACCACTATAGGGTCAATGTAGGGTCAAGCACAATAATCCATCATAAGATGGTTTGGTTTGGTCACTGAAGGAAACGATGGATTGCGGAGGTATAGATTAGGCCACAGTGGAGACAGAGAAAATGGGAACTTACCCTGGCGTCCATGGTCTGCGAATTTTCGTAGGGATGGTGCCCTAATGGTGTGATCTCGAGACGCGACGAAAGGGGGAAGGTTGAAAGACAGAGCTTTGGTCCAAGACCTCGGCCGGGAATATTAGAGTGTACAGGGTGTACAGAGTTGTTCAAGGACGATTATGCCCAAGGGAAATCAATAGTGATGAATACTTCAAAGCGTGTCCTAGGAATTCAATGCACATAGAGTGGAGTCCTCTAGCAAACAGGTTAGTCTATCTGAGCTGAGCTGAGCATGAACATGAGGTTGGAGGTTGGAGGTTGGTATGCAGTAGTATGGGTATGAGTATGGGTATGGGAATGGGTATGGGGTTGAATGTTTTTCTCGCGTATATGTGGTAGCATGGGTTGGAGGATGGGATGAAAGCTGCAAGTAATTAAACTTGTTGAAGCTTCAATGTTTGGTAAAGCTTTGGGCAGTTGTCAAGGCGTTGCCTAGCAGCTCACTGACAGTTCCTTGACAGCTCCTTGACAGCTGCGCATAAGCTGATCATAGGGGACTGTGGGCTCTGTGGGCTGTGTGGGCTGCAAGCTGTGTGGGCTGCAAGAAGGCTGCAATGCAAAAGGGCTGATCAAGTGGGTACGTACCTTTTTGTCCCAGAACTCAACTTGTTCCCAGAACTTATATTTTTGTATTTTTGGACCAAGCTAGGTAAACCTATGTTTTAACTCTTCTTCTTCCCAATGATCACCAGGAGACCTTTAGGTTTATGATGACCACCGTTTTCCCAATGAAATAGAGCAAGATGGTGGCGTTGACGGGAAGGAAGGAAGTCTTTCACATCAACTAGGAGAAAGGTGTAGACGTCGTTTGAGGGTGTAGGTGAAGTAGGTGAGGGGAGGTGAGTTGCACACAAGATGCACGACCTTGTTGATGTGAAAGTGAATTTAGGAGTGGATTATAGGTAAGTGAAAGAAGCCTTCTTGGAATCGGCGACTGACGAGAAGGTTTAGTGGTAACAGAGATAGTGAAGTACGTTGTCGAGTTAATGGAAACCAAAGAACAAGACGGGAGACACTGGCAACAGCTGTCGGCGCAATGTCAAACCAAAAGAACGCCTTCGGCTTTCAATAGGCAAAAGTCTTAGGTCTGGTGGTTGGAGGAAGACGTTGCGGCGTTGACGTTAATTGAAGGGAAAAAAGTTGAAGAAGTGAGAAAGTTTGTTGTCGGCGCATTAGAATTGCGAAAGAGGGATGCCTACCGTTTTGAGGTTGACGGGCAAAAAAAAAAAAGATTAAAGATTGACGGCGATTGTTGATGTTGACTTTCCAACTGAAGGCCGAAAGATTGCAGCTTGACGGCCGCAGGGTAAAACCGCAAGGTGCGATTCAGGTACGTACATACCCAAATAGGAAATTAGCATTAAGGTACGTACCAGACTACCGCGGGAAGCTGTGGGGAAATAAATCAAAATAAACAAACCGCGAAGGTGCATTAAGCCTACAGCATACAATCCCTGTCTTAATTCCTGCCCGTTGCCCAGGTCAAATCGAGTCGGCAGCAACCTGTGAAACCCTGACGACGTCCTGACAAATGACTCAGTTTACCTAACCTATC